CCGCAAGCGGAAGGTCTCGTCTTGTCTTCGCTTTGCTGTGGCGATCCCAGTTTCCTAATCTCACCTGATTTCACTCCCAGAATTATCACTCCTAATTTCTTGGATGCACTTTCACCTTTTTTGGCCAGTTCCCTCTTTTGATGGCACGTTTTGCGACGCAGCATGTGGGTTTGTCACTGGGAGATGAGGCAGCACAAGTGCTTGCTTCGCTGTCTGTGCGGTGCACTGAGGAGCTGGGTGCTGCGTGCGGTGCCTGCTAGCTGGGGGACCCGGCGGGCATCATGAGCACCTGCGGCCCACACGGCCTGTGGCGGGGTGCGGAGCTCGCGCACACGCAGCCATGGCGCTGAGTTGGGACCACGCTGGGGCCCGGCCCTGACATCTGTGCACGCCCTGGAGGGCTGTGGCTGTGGAGGTGGACCCAGCTCGGTCTGCAAGTAATGAGGGTGCGAGCCAGGGGACCGGGCAGAGGACACAGTGAGGGGCGCAGCCCACAGAGCAACCATTTTCAGGGGCTGCAGTTTCCTGCGGTGAGGGCGGCGACCTGCCTGCGGGCTCCGCAGCAAAGGGACTGAGCAAAGAGGCCGCCTCCGGGGGGGGGGCCGCGGTGAGACTCCGCCAGGGAAAGCCTGGGAGAGCCCTGGGGCGCGTCTGGAGGGGAGGCGGGCAGCCAGGGCCCGGGGACGGGCCCGGGGAGGGGGCGGCTGGTGTCCGCGGTGACCCTGTTGTTTGGCGTGGCGGACCCCTGGGTCCTCAGGTCGGCGGGGATGGAGCCTGCGGGCCTTCGCGTTCCCGGGGCTGCAGAGCAGGTACCGCGGAGCCAGGCGGGAGGGCGCTACGGGGCGAGGAGGGCGGCGGCGCGGGGAGGGCCGCCAGGGTCGGGAGCCCCGCGGCCTGCAGCCCCGGCACCCGGCCCGGCGCAAGCCAGCCGGCGGGCAGCCCCTGCGCCGCCACCCCGCGCCCCGCACCTCCGCGCAGCGTGCCCCGAGGCGGCCTCGACGCGCGCGCGGCAAAGCAGGGACCCGACGGAGGAGGAGAGGGGCTGCCGAGCGCGCGTGGGGGTCCGAGCCGGTCGGCAGGGCGAAGCGGGGCAGCACAACCCAGTCACCGCAAAAATCTGCAGAAAATAGGGGTGCACAGGGCGCGGGAGGAGAGCCAGAGAAAGCAGAGCTGCCGGCACGCCTGGAGGCCCCGCCGAGTAGCAGGAGGTGACATCCCACCCAGGCTGGGTGTGCTCCAGGGCAGGGCCCACGTGCTTGGTTATTGTGGAGAAGTTGGGGTTCCCATGTCCAGGATCCTCACTGAACTTAAACCATCTGACGCTGTAACTGGCCTGTTGCTGGGCTGCCGCTTCCACACCCCTAGGCGATAAGCTGTTACTGCTCTGTAGAGAGAGCTCGCCCAGTGCTCTGGGCGGAGGCAGGGACGCTAGTTCCCCACCTACCGCCGGAGAACAAGCGGGTAACAAATCCCTTCACCCCAAAGAAACGTTCTACTGTCATTGCCTTGGTTACACTAAGTCCATAGCGAACTTACCGGGGGGCTGAAACCCATTGGCAAGACAGTTATATATCCCCTAACTTATTTCCCAGAGTGACCTTAGGAGGAAAGCGGAACTCTCATTTTTACAAACAATGTATCTACAAGGCAGTCTCTCACATACTAGGCAATATGTCTCACAACTAATTTCTCCCATCAGGAAGACACAGCTCTTAACTATGTTATAAGTTTGTATCCCTAATATTTTCTGTGGCCACGGTTAGCCACTGATGACCCTGTTCTTTGCACAACTCTGGTGTCTGTGCTGGTGTGGGAAAAATTGCAAGGAGTTACAACTGGGTACTGTGAAGCCCCATCTGGACTGCCCAATCGTAACACATAAGGGAAGAAAAGTGTGTCCTGTGACAAGTCCTCTATCTTCCAGTTTACAGATCATTCAACTGACAGGGACTTTCACTGTCCATTGAATGTGACATGGTTTTTCCTGTTCTGCTTGTGACTGAACATGGGATGGATCACCACAGACATCATCGGTGGCCCCCCCAAAGCCCGCTCTGCTCACCAGAGGAGCTCCGGTTTGCAGTTTCCGTCTCTATCTCCTGGCCATGCACTTCAGGGAAGTGGGCTCTGGCCCCAGTCCCAGGAGTGAGTGAGGACCAGCCCAGTCACTGGAATGTGATTAAATTCTATTAAGTTAAGCAAACATACATAGATGTCTGCCGAGAAGACAGAAAAAACCTGGATCCTTGATCAAATGCCTGGGCAATAACATTTCCCTTTTTTTTAGACAATTGTGTTAAGCTTTTGATTCTTGGACCCAAAAACAGGCCAAGTAATAGACTAACAGACAAACATCTGTGAGCACTTTGTCAGGAGAGGCAGCTGTCTGTTAGGGAAGGGGTAAATATGCTAATGTCTTCCTTTCAAGCTTGGTCATTCCTTTCAAAAGAATGCATACAGTGTATTAAAATACCATTCAAATCCATCTGCCTTTAAAGGTTTTCCAAAATCTAAACATTTACTTAATGTGACACTTTACAAGCTTGTGTCCTAATTTTTTATAGCAAATTCTAATTTTCTTAAATCTAACAAGAATGACTATTTCCCCATATTGTAATCCACTATAAGCATTCATCTATTCAAATAATCATATACTCATGTATTTATACTTTTGTAAGTACTTTTATACTTTGGGGTAATAAAATGTTAAGTATGAAAGTAAAAATCCAACTTTTATTTTTTTGAATACAATTCAGATGCTCCAGTTAGAGATAAAAACACAGCAACCTAAATGACGGATTCACAAGCCTGCAGGTTTGTGTCCTTGGAGAAGCTGAGAAGTGCTCCAGGCGCATGAGAGGGCTATTCACAGTACAGAGCAAACACTAAGGCCAGTGCCAGGTAAGTCTCAGTCTCATGTTTAGCTGCAACCCAGCTGTCCCATGCAACGTCCCAGACACACCTGCTGGCAATCTGCGAGAGAGTTTAAAAAGGTCAACTTCAGATTGAACAGGTTAAGTGGTAATTTTTATATCTATACAAGTTTGATTTTTTTTTAAGATGCCTTAGTATCTTAGAAAGGTTTATTTAAAAGGTAATTTGTCCAATTTTCCCTTTCTTGAAAAGACTTAAAAATGATGCTTCCTGGGCCACCTTCTCTTTTCCTGGACCTTAGTGGCTGCCTCAGCAGAGTGTGTGCAAGGGCAGGAGCGGGAGGCCCTCTGTGATGCTGGTCTAGTAGCTCTGCATACACTGCTACTCTGCTGTGTTAGAGCCCATGATAAGGAATTACTCTTCCCAACCTTAAAAGATACTCAACTGAAAGTTTGTTAGGTCCTTGTCTTGCAAGGAAGAAATGGCATTGATTATACACACAGACTGTTAGTGAAAATCCTGACTCCTTTACTTACAATGCCACAGTGATCTGACTGCAGCCTACTTTCCTGTGGTAGATCTTAAATGGCCAAAAATCCTTTGCGGTTTCCCTCCTCGAGAGGCTGAGGTGGTCATCCAACCCTTGAGTATGAGCTGGCCTTGGCACCTGCCCCAAGTTATGGAACGTGACACCGTGCAACTTCCAGGCAAGACCTCCAGAGGTCTTCTGCTCCCCACCTTCTTGGAACACTGAGGAGACCCCAGTGGAAGGAAGCCCATTCAGTCATGGGAGGATGATGGCTCAGGTGAGAACCCCAGCGTCTCAGCCATCAGACACACGAGCAAAGCCACCTTGGACCTCCAGGCCCGACTGTTACCAGCTGGCTGCAAGCACATCAGTGTGACCAGCAGAAAAACCAATGGTTAATTCAGGCTGAGCTGACCACAGGATGATGAGCAAATAACTGGCTGTGGTCTGAGGCTGCTGGACCCTCAGGCGGTTTGCTGTGGAGTGATGTTACCTGATACATGTCATGCTGTCTAAATACAGGCACCCACTCCGGCCATTGATCAAGTACAGCAAATCGATCCCTGGCTTAGGCTCTTTGTACCCTTGTAAATTCTCCCTGATCTCAGCACAGCTGCTTTCCTCTTGTTCAGCTGCAGGAGGGTCTTCCTGTGTCTAGACAATCCCAAGGAGTGGCTCTGTGACTGTCACATCACCCCGCCTTAATTATCTGGAAGAGCACCTGTCACCATCTGGGAGCCTCCCCCCTCCTAAATGTGTATGTGGTGTACGTCGGCCCCTCGGGCTCCCTGGGGGCCAGGCCCCCATCAGGCTGCCCGCTGTGTGGCAGCGCCCTCTGCCTGTGCAGCCCTCTCTCCACCCCCCCCACCCCCCACCACCGGGGCTCTGCACGCTACCGGCGCGCACACACCCACTCCCAGCGCACAGGTAACTTGCACAGCCCATCGGTACTGCATTTTCATTTGTTAATGACAATGACCTTATGTCTACTGAGGACTCTGTGCTGGTGACCTCATTAAGGATTTTAAAACAGATAATCTCATTTTATCCTCCCAACAACTCCAGCAAGTAGGTTTTATCATCCCCACTGATACATGAAAAGGCTACGTCCAGGTCACAGCAGTGCACTGCTGCCAGGATCACATCAGGACACTCGGACCCAAAGCCTAGGCTGCTACTCTAGCCGCATCTTTTACTTTCTTAAACTTTATAAAATGTGCTGCCTTATTTCTTTGACTAGAGTAAAAACTCCTCGAGAATCATGGTCCATATATCATAGTTGTGTTAACACTCATTAGTGCCCAAAACAATTTTACTGGTTTATTAATTATTAAATGATAGTCAAAAATGGTAGGAACAGGGTATACATACAACTTAATAAGTTACTAATAGAAAAGTGCAATTTCTAGGTTAGCACTTTTCAAAGAATTTACAGTGAAAGAAAATATATTTAACAGAAGTATCCTTTTACTCAAGAGGATCTTGAAGTGCCTTGGAGACATTACAATAAACACCAAGTCCTTAGAGAAGAGAGATCTTACATTTGAACCAATGAAGGCTGGCTCAGTGGATACTTACATTTATTGCCTGACCAGTCTTTTGAATAAATAGTACTTTTATAATGAACTTATACCGGTGGTACCCAAATTCTTTGACTGCTAACAATATGCGGTCTGCTAATTCAAGCGATAAATGAGAGAAGACTTTATCATCATATTTGACATCTTTAAGACTTTCCTTTAAAAAAATTAAGAGAATATTTTAATTTTCAAACCAAATATTTTCTAAATAAAAATTCAAGTAGAAAATGTGTCTAAATAATACATACAACTTCAAAAAATACACCTATTCCCAACCATGTCATTTCAAATGAATGTTGTACTTGGTTTATTTCAATAACAATTTTTGAAGAACATTTATTTTGTTTCTTAAATCATGTTCAATTTTTCTTCATTCCCAACTCTTAAGCTGTAAGTTGCCCTTTACTAAATTATCAGATAGTTATTAGGGAAACACGGGGGAATTTTAAAAGAAAGCTTCTGGGAATTATTAGGTAGAGAAAAGAAATCTTTTAAGAATTTACATATTTGCTAAAATTCAGATTTGGGCTTACCAGAGCAAGGGTTACTTGGACCCAGAGCCTGCATCATATTATTACCATCTTCCTCAGGCTCCTCAAATTAAAGCCCCCTTTTTCTGACCCTCTCCCTATGGCTTCTCACTCAACTTTTTTCCTGTGGCTTCCAGGAGAATGCAAAGGAAATCAAAGGTCTCTCATACGTTTATTCATGAATTAGTGCATGACTAGGGGGAGACAGATGGGGACCACGGAGCAGACCTAGACCATCCGATGAGCAGACAGCCATGCCTTTGACTGACTTGAACCCATGATAAATTAACCTATGTTCTGAGTTCTAATGATAACAGATGGATTCCTACCAGCTAATTTTACAGGCATGTAAAACCAAAGAAATTGCCTTTTTTTTAAGTTTTTGTTCCCTTCTAGAATGCTTCTGGATCAAAACTGGTTCTAGAGGTATTTATTTCCTTCAGACATTGTCTGTGGTTCTATTTTTCAGACACTTAGCAACATCCATTTTCTCTTCTGAATTTCCTAACAGATCCCAGGCTTTATCTACTTAAGCACTCTTTTTTATTAAATAATGAGCACTTGCTATAGGATGATATCCCCAAGCTCCTTCAGTATATATTATTTCTGTTTTTCTAACTATGTTCAATGGTCCCAGAACCTAGTGAAAATCTCTGGCCTTATTATGATCCATAGCGTCTACCTACATACCCAGTAAGCTTTACTGGCCCGTTATGCTCAACACAATTCTATATGTTGTCATATGTAAATACAATCTGAAATCCTTCTATATGCAATACATTTGAACTTGGCATATGTGCTAGGGCTGAATAAGAAATGCACCAAAATGTATACTCTTACAAGTGCTTGCTATTAGTGTTTAGGTCAGAGTAGAAGGTAATCGGTAATTATTTTACTGTATTAAATTGAGCTGGATGTCTTTATTTCCTGAAGCCATGAGCCATAGTATCTTTAACAAGTATCATCTGACAATCAGTTCAGTTTGGAAATATGTCTCTACTGCAGTGGAGGGAGGCTCGAGAGGGGTCTCTTAACTATTCTTCTATACTAATAAAGGTTAAATCATTTAAGTAATTCAATTTGTTATGATTAAAGGATTATTAATCATTCACACAAAATAAATTACACGTATGCTTTTTTCATAGTAGCTGTCTCCCATTAGTTGTTACTGAAGGAACCTCATAAAGTGGAGGGGGGATTAGTTTTAAATTAAATTTAAAACACTCCTGGAGTGGGATTAGGCTGTATGGGGTCCCACAAAAGGAATCTGATCATCAGAAATCTCCTGGGTGTCTGGTGCTCAGACTAGAAAGCAAAGATGGAAAGGGGATTCAGAAAAGGTGGTGCCTCAAACTCCTACAATTAAAGAAGTTTCAGTTTGACCCTTTATTGGGGAAGATGGTGAAGGGAATTATTTCTTTCTGAGCAATGTAGCCCTCAGATGCCAAAAGTAGTATAAATAATATTGGTATTAATATTAGTTTTGTAAAATTGAAGCAGCTTTTCTGGACTAGACTGGTTCGCACAACTGTCTTAAGTGAATTTTAGATTCCAGTCAGCTTGAAGATGAAGACAGTTTGTGCACAAGTGGGTCTTTAAGATGTTTTGAAGTAGTCAGGAACCAATTTTTCACACATGAATACATAGTATGTTCTTTTTTAAACTCATTCTTCCAATATATAGGAGAAATATGGAACCTGAGGGCTAATTTATGGATGATTGAGTTGAATGAAATAACAAAAGAATATTCCCTTTAATCCAGCTCATAGTATCAATGTGAAGATTACTGAGTATGACTACAAGCCACTTTCATGTTTCAGAGATAAATGCTACAAAAAAATCCATCAGGAAAATTATACTGCCATAAATCTTGAGATTATCAAACCCCCAAAGCTAAGATGTTGGTGTCATGCGTATCTATCAACATACACTTAGTATCTGCTGGACTTTAGTTTCCACTGAATGAGCTTGGAACTTTTTCAACGGCTCCATTCTGTACAAACTGGCGAACTTCACTCTTGCCAGGGTCCTCTTCCATGCTTTACCTCTGTCACTGATTGAGTCATGAAACGGGGGTTCCACATACTGAACACCATGAAATGATTCTCTCAGTCTTTCTCTTAAAACTTGTGCATACTACAAGAGAGGGGAGAGAGAGAGAGGCGGAGGAGGGGGAGGGAGATTACTTTTTCAAAAATTTTTTAAAATTTTGGTGTCATTAATCTACAATTACATGAGGAACATTATGTTTACTAGACTCCCTCCTTCACCAAGTCCCCCCCACATACCCCTTCACAGTCACTGTCCATCAGCGTAGTAAGATGCTATAAAATCACTACTTGTCCTCTCTGTGCTGCACAGCCCTCCCCGTGCCTCCCCCCACATTATACATGCTAATCATAATGCCCCCTTTCTTCTCCTCCCCACTTCTCCCTCCCTTCCCACCCATCCTCCCCAGTCCCTTTCCCTTTGGTAACTGTTAGTCCATTCTTGGGTTCTGTGACTCTGCTGCTGCTGTTTTGTTCCTTCAGTTTTTCCTTTGTTCTTATATTCCACATGAGTGAAATCATTTGGTATTTGTCTTTCTCTGCCTGCCTTATTTCACTGAGCATAATACCCTCTAGCTCCAACCATGTTGTTGCAAATGGTAGAATTTGTTTTCTTCTTATGGCTGAATAATATTCCATTGTGTATATGTACCACCTCTTCTTTATCCACTCATCTGATGGACACTTAGGTTGCTTCCATTTCTTGGCTATTATAAATAGTGCTGTGATAAACATAGGGGTGCATCTGTCTTTTTCAAACTGGGCTGCTGCATTCTTTGGGTAAATTCCTTTAAGTGGAATTCCTGGGTCAAATGGTATTTCTATTTTGAGCTTTTTGAGGAACCTCCATACTGCTTTCCACAATGGTTGAACTAATTTACATTCCCACCAGCAGTGTAGGAGGGTTCCCCTTTCTCCACAACCTTGCCAACATTTGTTGTTGTTTCTTTTGGATGGTGGCGATCCTTACTGGTGTGAGGTGATAGAGAAATTACTTTTTAAATTGTGAAATGAAGTTTCAGATTTAAGAGCCCTTGTGTGATGGGACAAGGCTGCCACCCAGCCTGGAAATCCATCATGATAGACTTCTATGATAATGTAGGTGCCAAATTCTAGATCCTCCAATTCGCTCCTGGCTATTCATTTGGTAAAATTAAAAAGAATACCACCTTGCTAGTGAGCTATAGTCTATTTACCTATAAATGCAAATAAGCACAAACACAAATCCGCATGCATGTATTCAGAATACCCAGGGATGACATAAAAGAGCTGGAAACGAGAGTGGCCTCTATGGAGGGCGGCAGAGATGTGTGCAAGGAAGGTCTTTCTGAGGTCATGAAGATATTATCCTTCATTGTTTCATTATTTTATTATTATTATTCTCTTTGAATAAATATAACTACTTAAGTAACATTCACAAGCCTTTAATTGAAAAGATAACAAAAGTGTGTTGATTTGGTACATACATTATTCCATGCTTTTGACATTCAGCATTTCACCACTGAAGTTAGCTACCTCGTTTGTTGTTTTCTTGATGTAAAGTTGTTTGAGATTTTTCTTGTTTCTTGATGTTGGTTTTTATGACTATGAATTTTTACTTCTAAGTTTTTCTTTAAGAAATACATTTCATATTGCTATAGCTGCCATATATAGTGATTCCTCTGATGGGCCTGGGTAAACTGCAACCTTCTGGAAAGAATTCACCATTCTAGATATCATTAAGAACATCCATGACTCATGGGAAGAGCTTGTAACATCAACATTAACTGTTTGGAAGAAGTTGATTCCAACCCTTATGGATGACCTTGAGGGGTTCAAGACTTCAGTGGAGGAAGTCACTCCCGATGTGGGGAAAACAGCAAGAGAACTAGAAGTGGAGCCTGAAGATATGGCTGAATTGCTGCCTGTCACGGTAAAACTTAAACAGATGAGGAATTACTTCCTAAAGATGAACAAAGAAAGTGGCTTCTTGAGATGGAATCTATTCCTGGTGAGGGTGCTGTGAAGACCATTCAAAGGAAAACAAAGATTTAGAACATTACATACACTAAGTTGCTAAAACAGCAGCAGGTTTTGAGGACTGACTCCAACTAAACTTACTGAATAAAATGCTATCAAACAGCATCATATAAAGGGAAATTGTGCAGGGAAGAGTCAACAGATGCAGCAAATTTCATTCTTTTAAGGAACTAACACAGCCACCTCAACTTCAGCAATCACCAATTTGATCCATCAGTAGCCATAAACGTGGAAGTAGGACACTCCACGAACTAGCAAAAGATTGACTCACTGATGACTCGATGATGGTTAGCACTTTTTACCAATACAGTATTTTTAAATTAAGGTATATGCACTGTTTCTAAAGATATATTATTGCACATTTAATAGACTATAGCATAAACATAACTTTTACGTGCACTGAGAAACCAAAACAACTCATTTAACTTGATTTGTTGAAGTACTTGCTTTATGGTGGTGGTCTGGAACTGAATCCCAAATATCTCCAAAGTGTGTGTGTACAGTTGTAGCTACACCCTACAAATTTAATTTTCATTCATTTTAAAATATTTTGTTTTGTTTTCTTTTACCCATGGGCTAACTAGAAGTGTGTCATTTAGTTTTCAGACTAATGCAATTATATGCAAATATGCAATTATCCATAGCTTTATTATGGATTTCTAATTTTTTCCAATGTGACGAGAGAACATACTTTGTATGATTTGAATCCTTTTAATTTATTGGGACTTGTTTTATGTCCCAGGACATGCTCTATTGTAGCAATGTTTCATGTGCACTTCTAAAGAATATTTGTTCAGCTGTGGTTGCATGGAGCATTGTGTAATAGTCTGCTAGTTCAGGTTGGATTATGGTATTGTTAATACCTTATATCCTTACTAGTTTTCCTACCTGACCTATCAATTATTGAGAGAATGATACAGATATTGATGTGTGTTACAATTGGCAGCTGTAATTATGGATGTCTATTTCAGCAAGTGGAAATAATTGACATTTTTTGCTTCCTGTATTTCAAAGTTCATTTTAGATGCATAAACATTTAGGATCTTCTTTTTGATAAACTGACCTCTTAATATTATGAAATGACCCTCTTTACTGCTTATAATATTGCTTAGAAATGTACTGAAATGAAATAAGCACTCCAGCTTTCAATTAGTGTTCACATGGTTTTTTCCTCACCCTTTTCATTTTAACCTATTTATGTCTTTATATTGAAGTGTTTCCTGCAGACAGTATATAGTTGCATCTGCTTTTATAATCAGTATGACCATCTCTGATGGGTGTTCATAACATTTACATTTCATGTTGACATGGTTGTTTAAATCCTTCATGTTTTCGTATTTATCCCATCTGTTCTTTGTTCCATTTATTTTGTTGTGCATCCTTAAGTATTTTTAATGATTCCATTTTATCTCATTTTTTGGCCTATTAGCTTTATTCTTTTCTAGTGGTGGTTTTGGTGCTTATTATGATGTATGCTATGCTTACCAGCCTCCTTTCACACCACATCACATCACTTCCTATGTGGCACAAGGGCCTTACCATGGTGTCCTTCCTCTTCCTCCTCTAGGCCTCTGGCCTTTGTGCTAGTATTGCAATGCATCTTACTTCTACAGATAACATAAACCAAATATTATTTGTGATTTAATCTATTATATTTAAAGATTTTAAAATAAGGAAAAATGTATTTATCTATATACTTACCATTCTCAGTGCTTTGTCTAATTTACATCTTGTATCATATTTTTTTTTGCTTTAAGGACCTTAATATTTCTAATAGTAGCTTTGTGATGAATTCTTTTAGCTTTTATTTCTGAAAAGCTCATTATTTTGCCTTTGTTTTTCAAAGACATTTTTACTGAGTATAGGACTCTAGCTGACGGGTTTTCCCTTTTTAAGCTACTTTAAGGTATCTTTCAGTAAAGATGCCTGTGTTTTTTGGCTTGTACTGTTTCTGATAAGTCTACTGTCATTTCATCTTTGTTCCTATTTACTTAAATTTGTTCTCATGTTTTTTTCCTACTTGTCTTTAAACTTTAAAATGCTTATTTTAAGCAGTTTGACTATTATGTCTCAGCGTAATTTTCTTCATTTTTTGTGCTTGAAGTTCATTGAACTTCTTGGATTCATGGTTTTATAGCTTTTAATGAAGTTTGGAAATTTCTCATCTATTATTTCTCTAAATATTTTTTGTCCCTTATCTTCCTCTCACTTTGTGATGCAAAACTGAATAAATGTTTTGCCTGAAATTTTCCTATAGTTCAATGATGTCTCCTAATTTTTTTAGGTTTACTTTCTCTGGCTGTCTCCAAACTCACTAATTCTTTGTTCTGCAGCACTGAATCTGCTAATTCCATTCAATTAATTTTACATCTCTGACACTGTAGAAATTTGATTTGGATTTAACATGCTTAATATTTTCTCTACATGCTTGAAAATACAGAATATAGTAACTTTTACACTATGTTATATAACTGCCTTAACTTGCTGAAAATGAATCTAATACAGTATCTTTTATAACTACTTTAGTGTCCTTTCATACATCTTTTAATCATTTCTGGTTGTTTTTATTGTTTCTTCTCATTTTGGATTGTTTTCCTTTCTTTGTAGGTCTGCTAATATTTAATTGGACATCAAACATTGTGAATTTAACCTTTCCTATTTGCTGTATGTTTTTGTATTCTTATATTCTTCAGCTTTAAAACGTAGTCACTTAGAAACAGGTTAATTCCCGAGGCCTGTTTTTAAGCTTTGATAGGCCGGCCTAGAGATATCTCGTATAGGGCACCCCCCACTCCAGTCACGGAGACAATACACTTCTTGGCACTTAAAGCAATGCCCTGTGATTTACATGGTTTTCTACTCTTACTGGTGGAAAAAAACTGGTTTGTGAATCCAGTGACGTTTTTGTCCTTTTGCGTGATTCTTTCTCTGGCAAGAGGGAGTTTTTTACCAGACACAGTGATGCACTAACTTGAAGACATGAGGAAAATTATCTGCGCATCTCTGAAACTATCTGTTTATCTCTCTCCTCTCATAATACTCTGCAGACTCATACCACCTTGACCCACCCTGGTACCCAAGTGAGACCTCTCCCTAAGGTGTGGGCTGGAATATGCTACCCAGCAGGAAGTTAGGCGGACTCTTAGTGCTCACCTTTCCTGTCTCTCCACTCTCAGTATCACTATCCTGACTTGCTTTACATCTAAACAAATGTTTACATGGAAACAAATGTTTCGTGAATTGTGTTATTTCCAGGAATTTCTGATGGGAGTTACTCCACGTGGCTCCAAGTAGAAGTCCTTCATCAGAAACAAATCGGACACTTTGATCATTTGTCAGACTGTTTTTAGTTGCGGAACAAAGGCCTCATTAGCATCCCAAATCTCTTAAATCCAAATTCTTTATCAAGAAAATGCTCCTTTAGGGTAATCTTTTTCCTCACAATATGTTCAAGTGATGCAACTACATTACATCATTGACAGTGGCTCACAACTAAAATGACTCCCTTTGGAATAGGGCATTTATGTGTCATTTAAAAATAAGAGATTCTAATATGTTGAAATCTCGCATATCTACCATTTCTTCCTTGTATATAATACTGGCCTTGTGATTTAGTATGCTCTGTATGAAGAGCATTTTATCCCTTTACTAAGAAGAATCCTTTTCACTTCTAAAAACTAGGACTAGATTTTAAATATAATCAATTTTTTGACATCTCCTAAAACAACTTGAGTTTAAAGACTTAACCTATTGATAATGGCATTTCCTTACATTGAGTCTACTTATAATCCTGGAATAAACTGAGTTTGGTCATGGGATGCTATGTACATTAATGTACTTCTACTTGCTATTTGCTAGTATTTAAGATTTTCAAATGCATGTACCCAAGTGAGATGAACCATTCAGTTTTTAATTATCTGTTTAGGGTTTTGGGCATTTTGGTTGAAAGCCATAGGAACTGATTCTAGTTAAGCAAAAATATAATTAGTTGAAAAGCTATGGGGTAGCTCATGGAATGGGAGAGAAGGCTGAAGAACCACATGTGAGGCTCTTCAATATGCCATCCTCAACTTGAATTAATCTCAGCCATTTGTGTTATTCCAGGAGGAGGTCATCTAATTAGCTTAATTTTGCTCTCATCCACACCACAAAGCTAAGGAGTGACTGACAGTCCCACCAAGACTCTTATCTAATGGAGGATGAGTTAATTCTCCAAAAGAAAATTGAGATGGATTCCTGGAAGGAAAAAAATGGATGCAGGACAGGTAAAAGTATTTACATTGATTTAAGGGTGTGTCCCCATTTTTTCTATGTTCAGGAACTTGGGAAAGTCTGAACTGACTCTTTGGTGTACTTAACTGTCCTCAGGCACATTTAGTGAGCATTTGTGGGATCCTTTCTGTTTCTTCTCAATTATTCCTATGCAAATTTCTTACCTCTAGCAGCCTAGATTTTAGACAGCTATGATCGATCATATACTTATCAAATAAGCGAGAACTGCCTCAGTCCCGGATGTCGGCCTGTATACCAAGTGTACCTGTGTGCTTCCCTTTAGATTCTGACCTTTAGTAGGCATTAATTTTTAAGAAGGCAAGTTTGTCTGCTTCAAAATACAGAATTTTGTTTACTGCTGGTGACCTGTTACTTAGACTTATTGCCAGGTAATACAGCAGTTTCTGGGAGCATGAAATTTAAAGTCCAACAGATTAAGATTTCTAGTCTTGCTCTGAACTTGGCCTGTTTATTTGTACTCCTTTAGTTCTTTCCTCTGTAAAATGTAGACATCAAAGAGCTGTCATCAGAACTTCAAACACTGCCATGACTTCTTTTGAGGATTCTTGTTGTTACCTTAAATGTGTTAGGACCTTTAAAAATTAGTGTTTTGCCTGTTTTCTCTCCTTTACCCTATCAATTATCAGCCCCATGAAGGAGGTATGAAAAGAAACCATCAGACAAGTGGACGGAGTGTCAGAGCAGATTCTAGACTCTGTTCTACAGTTTTGACAAATCATTTCAAGTTTCAATAAAAGTTGGAGCTTTGATTACAACAACGGCTTTCAGACTATGGTCTCAGGGAAACCTAGCGTCACACCAACAGGTGACATTTTTCATTAATCTCAGACACGAAGTTAATGGGCTGAATGTTTTCATTTTTTCCCCTGTACGTTCCTCAAACACCGAGGCTGTTTTTAAAGACTATAAAACACCCCGCCGCTGTTAGGTGCGCGAGGTCCTTGTCCTCGGTGGCCGGCAGCGCCACGTGGACTTCTGCGAACAGCATGGAAGCGCCGGGTGGCTCCCGGGGACCCGCTGCCGAGAGCGCCGGGAGCGCTCTGGGTGCCTCTCCCGCCCCTGGTGGTGCCGGGACCCCTGAGCGCCGCCTCTGCTTCCGGGTGGGGGAAACGGGGAGTCCCGCCGCCTGCGCACTCACTGCCTCCTTGTCGAACATGCTGGGCCTCCTCTCTTTCCGAGGCGGCGGCAGCTCGGCCGGGCCGGCAGCCACCTTCCCGCCCCGGCCGCGCTTCTCCATAGCCCCGCGTCGCTAAACACCGAGCGCCTCGCGATCACGCCCCTAACGCCTCCGCTGCTTCCCGCGACAGCGGAAGTCTCGCACCTGCGCTGCTCCGGAAGTGTGACGCAGGGGGTGGGCGGGGCGTTACGTCATCCCGCGGCGCGGGCGGCCAGGGGCCGGAAGTCATGGAGGTATGACGGGGATCGTGGAGCCCCCGAGGTTCCTGAGCGCGCTCATTGGGCGCCGAGAGCGGGACGGGAGGCGGCGGAGCGGAGAGGGTGCGCGCCCCGGCGGGATGGGTCCTGGTGGGATGCTCGCCCGTCAGGGCCGCCGCCGGGCACGTCATCCTCGCCATCTTCTGATCCGCGGCTGCAGTCGGGCGGCGGGACCCGCCCCGAATCGCGCCGGCCTTGTTACTGGCGCCTCCAACCCCAGGTGGCGTCAGGTCCTCGCTCCCCGCCACAGCCGTGAAGAATTAGCGCGCTTCCCAGCCCGCGTCTGGCGGCTGCAGGCCCCGGTGGGATCGTGCGGGAGAAGCGCGGGCTGCTTTCAGCGTGTGTCCTGCGGCCCTCGCCCCTAACGGAGGGCGTGTAGTATGTAATGGTGGCTACCTTAAGTTAAATTAAAATTATATTCCACATTTTTAGGTTACTTTGGTAACAATCTGAATCATAAAGCCTCAATCGCTGTAGATCAGATTCAGTGGGGGTTGCCTCATAATAAGGATTTTATTCATTTTTCTCCTCTGGCCATTAAATATCAAACTAATGTCAGTTTTAGGCATACTTACTCTTTTAGTACTATGTGCGGGGTGCTTCCCAAGTATTATCTCTGGATACTGCAATCCTAAAAACGGATAGTATTTTGCACCATTTTATAGTTAAAATCAAGGCTCAGACATGTTAAGCAACTTTTTCAAGGCAAGAGGTAGGAAGAGTTTGAGGAAGAATTCAAATTAAACTCTTCAGCACAGGCCGTTTGCATTACCCCGTGTTGCCCTGGGCATGACCCTGAAGTGTCAAAGAATAATGATGTCGGTGGTCACACAACATCCATACACACGTGCAGGGTTCCTGGCTTCCAGAAGGGGGAGAGACATGTCTATAGCTGTAATACACAGGACAACGTATTTAATTGTCATGTGGGACAAAGTATTGCATGCCTAATGTTTGTTGGTTTGGGGTTGGATTTTTTCATTAATGAACAGTGTGGTTTTTTGTCCAAGAGTGTGTGCTTAAAAGTCAACCTAGAAGACCAATGCTAGAACTATGTGTCTTGTTACGGTATGGGGTTCATTCCCAAAAGGTGAAATTTGTGGAACTTGGAAGAGTATATTTCAGCCCAGTGTAAGAGGAGCCAATCATTCAGTTGACTCTTACTATTCCTGTATTGTGCACAGGTGGCTGTGCTGTGTCTTGGGGGCAGTGTTGTGTAACACCTGGTCTCTGTGCTCTAGGAACTTACAGTTTGGTTGAGGGGCATCTGTACTGACAGGGCATCTACACCAAAAGAAAACTTCACTTGCCATATCCAGGGCTCACTTTACTAGAGGAGTAGATGGGCTGTTAAAAAATATTTCTGCCTGCCATCTGTCACTCCAGAAGTAGGGCTCATTCATTTAGAGTTCAAATGCTTTTTAAAGTGCAAGGAGTCCCTTTGGATGTGAAAGTAACCCTTAAAGTTATATTTCTGTGTCAGTTGGGAGAAAAACATACTAGTCTTTGAACTGAGAATTTAAAGTGAAGAGTTAACAAGATTTACATTTCTGACTAGGTGTGTTAAAGGATAAGAAGTATCATGGAGGTAGCCGCTTTAGGAGGCAACTCTGCCCTACCCTTTAGGGAACTAAGGGAAGGATCAGAGACATAGCGGAGGCCCATATAGCTGGAACTCAGACATCTAAGGTGGAGGCTGTGCTGTTCAGAGACAAGAAGGGGGGTCTGGGAGAGTCTGGGAAACAGACGTTTGAAGAGGAGGTGCTGGACATGAGGTGGTGTCTGGTGGGGGCGCAGTGGTGAAGCTGGGCTTGTAATGGGAAACTGCAGACCAGAATCAGCTGCTGCTGAGGGCCCTCTCAAAGGAACAGGAAGTGGACAGGAAGTCCTCAGGCTGCAGGTGGCAAGAATAAGTCCCTTTCTGCCCTGTTGTCCTGCTTTGTCCTTCAGATGTCCTGACTGGCTGAGCAGAATGTGTTCTGCTCAGTTACAGAGATCACAGAATATTACACTGAAGTTTCGTGGGCAATATTTTAACTACTAGCATCTGCAGAAAATTGGATCATGGGCAAGGTGGAGATTATGGGATGAAGCTTCTAGGGTCCTGAGGGACGAGAAGAGTGGACAGGGTGATACTGAGCAGGGTGGAGGGACTTTGACTGGCCCGTTTCTGAATTTGGATACTGCCAGGACTTCATCCTTCATGTTAGACCGCAGACACCCTTTACTCAGTCCATCAAATAGAGGCCCCTGGGTTTGCTCTCGACCCAGAATGTTACTTCCTGGCAAGTTTATAAGATGATCTCAGTGTAGTGTGGAGATAATTACAAGGCATCTGGTTTTATTTAATCCTTCATGGAAAAGCAGTGTGGTTTGCTGCTTTTTACACCTAGGATCTTACAGTTCCTTTTCTCTTTTGGGGGGCAGAAGTATCCTTTTTACTTCTCTTTTAGTTCATTATGCTTGGTTTTCTGCTGTCCCACTCCCCATTTAAAAGTTGTGTATTTTGATAACTTTGGGATGGTAAAGGAATGCTAGCAGGAATAACACATGATCCATAAGACATGCTGAACTCTGCAGACTCCTGTCTTAATAGATATCATCATAAATATCTTCAGATCTAAAAACATTTATTTGAAATGTTTTTCCACATTTCAAGTTATCTTTAATGTTTTACCACAATGTTTTAATCATACAGCTCTCATGATACTCAGAATGTGTGTTAACGGTAGCCCTGCCTGAGTAAATTCTGTACGTCAGAATTTTCTTGTGACTTGAATAATAATAAGTATTCCTTTGTTTTTACCTCTGTTAAACAATATCTTTTATGTTTTATATTTCAGATACTAATAGAGGATCCTATTACCACATGTCTTTCGCCCTCAGTGTATGATATGATCTGTAAACTCGGGTTTGAAGTCAAAGAAAATTGTGACATCAATAGTATTGTAACTCAGAGTGGTGAAGTATGCTGGAAGACAATCACAGACTGTGCAATTTATACAGTGTCAGGTTTGTCCTTTCTCTGCACCCCAGACATCTGTCAGTACTGTTGCTTTTAAAAGGTCTTCACCTGTAAAATTTCCCTTCCTGGTATTGCTGCTTCTGGTTAGAGGGTGTTGTAATACCGGCCTAACTCAAAAGAGGAAATGAATCCTTGTGAAAGAGGGACTTGAGGCCAGAGAAGAGTTACCGGGCTGGACCAAGGGAACTGAGTGTGGGAAGATGGGTGGGGAAGAGTGAGGGCTGAGGATCCATGTGTGGTATGGGTCTCTGCTCCTGGTGAGCAGTCTAGGTGGGGGGGAAAGGAAGAGAATCATATGAGTGAAGGGCAGGGATCACTGGGAATATGTTACACAGTTACTTTAAATGTCTCCGGGTGTTCTTGTACAATTTTTGGAGAAAGGATATGGGTTGGGAAATTTAATAACAGTTGTAAAAAAATTACAAATAAAGGTGCTGTGACCCAGCAGTTCCTTCCCAGGAATTTGTAAGGTTCACCGACACACGTGAGAGTGTGTTTGTGCAAGGCTATTCCTTGCGGCAGTTTTAACAGCAAAAAAGAAAAGACACTGGAACAGCCAGATGTCAGGCAGTGGCCAGTAAACCAGGAAGGGTGCACATGCGGGAATGTTGTGCAGTGGTGGGCGGGAAGGAGGCCTGTCCTCCTGGTGACAGGAATCTAAGTTGTACAGCTAAGTGAAAACATAGGAGGAGTGTGTATTTGTTCGCTTGAATATGTATAAGTACAAATAGACCCAAGGAATTAGTAATAGGTCTTACAGGAAGGAGAATTGGGGGGCCCGGAGGGAGACTTTCACCCTTTTACATTTTTGGATCGTGAGCCCTGTGCATATTCAGCCCAAAACTTAACAAAAAAATTAAACAATAAAAGATGCGCATTATGAATATGTTCTAGAACAACTAATGTCACTGGAAATCTCACAGTGTGATGATGTCAAACATACCAGGTTAAAATAATACATACACAGTCTGAAACTGGTTTTATATAAACTTATAGGTAAAGAACTTGAAGAAAATATTTTTTCTTCTGTTTGAACCTTTCTGTATTTTCCAGATTCTCCTGACAGTAGATGTACTTTTTTTATTTTTTTAACTTTTGGTACCATTAATCTACAATTACATGAGGAACATTATGTTTACTAGACTCTCCCCTTCACCAAGTCCCCCCCACAAACCCCACTACAGTCACTGTCCATTAGCGTAGTAAGATGCTGTAGAATCACTACTTGTCTTCTCTGTGTTGCACAGCCCTCCCCGCGCCCCCTTCCCACATTATAGTCGATGTATTTTTTATAAACAGATAAGCCCTTTGTAATCTTCCAGTAGCATCTGTGTGTCTTTTGTGAGTTCAGTTATAAACTGGCTGTTGATTTTGTGGGAATGTTATAATTAGGGCACTTTTTCTTTGATGATTTAGACATTTTTCATCACATGATGTGGATCTGTGGTACTAAACCTTGTTTTCTTACCCTTGAAGCCCAGGATCTGGATTACCGTGGGAGCGTGAGGCTGCTGGGCCCTGTGTGTGAGGCTGTCCACTCACACCTGTCGTCTCTGACCAGGGAGCAGTTTGAAGTCCAGTGTGCACCGTGGCTCCAGTGGACACACTTTCCACAGGTTTGGCTTTTGAACACCTTTAGGTATAAAACACAGCAGATTCCACTCAGAGGCCCTCATTACTTGCTGATTTTAAAGGGGTCTCCCTGTCCTCTGGGCTACCCACCTGTGACAGAGACTTGGGGGTTGCCAGGGACACTTGGAACTGTCCTGCAGAGTCTCCAGGCCTGAGCTGAGAATATGTCCTTTGAAGGAAGGTCCTTTTTGGTTGTGTTATCAGGCTTGGAGGCTCAGGAGGTAGCTGGGCACATGGTGGCTGATCCAGGGACAGAAAAATGGACACCTCCAGGAAAAAAGGAGCACTATGGACAGATAGTAGGGCATTCTTGAGATAGTGGGACCAGGAGACTGTAGGTGGGGAGGCATGGTTTTTGGGGTGAGTGGAGGGAGGAGGGGTGGTTTGGGGTCACACCCAAACTTTGGTTTGATTGCTTGGTTGGTTCAAACAAACCATTTCACTTGGCACATCAGATGACTGCAATAGAGCGCAACTGTAAAAAAACAAATTCTAATACTTTGAATTCCCTGATGTAGAGAGTCACCCCTTCTCCCTTTGCAGTAGTTACCCTAAGTGGCAGGCTGAGCAGCCTTGTATTTATCTATTTTTAAGAGCTAATGAAAATGGGAAATAAGATTAGGTCAAAATATTTGACTTTTCAATCGACAATTATCCCAGATTTACTCTTTCTATAAACATTTAAATGAGATAACTTTGAGAAAACTTCTTACATATTAAAGTATTTTTCTTGATTCTTTAGATATTGTATGTATGTAGCAAATGTTTGCCTACACCAAAAATGTCATTAAAATTATGTCAATTGAATTCTTTAGAGGTTTGGATTTCATTAGTAGTATTGTTACTTAGAGTATTTCTTTTGAGAAATATATCTTATTGAGCACAGCACAGATTCTAACATATGTCTTATTCCAAACAGTTATTTCCCGAAATTTTTGAATCTTTGAGAAGTCGTCAGTCTCCTGCCATTTCTCTCAGTTTGATGAAGCTGACCTCCTGTCTAGAACGGGCCTTGGGTGATGTACGCGCAAGGACTCTCTTTGTTGGTCCATTAAAGAACTTAAACGGAAAAGTTTCACAGTTGCACTTGGGTTTCTTGATTCTAGTTATTGTTGTCCCACAAAATATGATCATTTGGCACAAATTTTTTAAAACATTTCTGTGAGTGATTATAAAATCAAAACATTGGTGTCTGTAGTACTTTTCTCCCCTTATTTGTACAAACCATTGCTTTAGTGGTGTTTTTTTAATGTCATGTGGCTCACTGTAACGCAATTTTTAACAATTTTGTTTGAATTTTAGGTGTTTTTGCTGATTGGGAAGGAATGCCCCTTCCTTTTAAGAGATCTTCTTGTGTCTGAAGAGCTCACACAGGTGTTCGGGCAGCCCGTGGTAAGTTTGCTCCCCTCAGACTGGTAGAGCAGCCACTGCCCAAAGCAAGGGGTGGTGGCCATGCCCTGTGTCTCAGAGGTTGATGCTGCCTTAGAAGAAGATACATTATGTCAGTGATTCAAGCATTCTCTCCTGTCCCGCCTCCCTTTTCAAAGTTGCCACTGTTCCAACCAAAAGACACCCGTCCCTTGCCCTGAGTCTTGGTGTGATTCTGGTGTGATGACCTCATGTGATGTCCTCCGTTGTGATGACCTAGAGTGTAATAGCCTCAGGGCCAGTTAGAGGGACAATTTGAAGTCCATTACTTTTGTTAATCATGTATGAACAACTACAATACTAACTTATTCTAGAGTAAAATGTCAGCCCTTAAAGCATGCTATTATACTCTTTTATTCTAAATTTTATCACACTCTTTTAGTCTAGTTGTATTCTAAAAAAACAGTATTTTTAACATGTGGGAAATTATGCCCTTTGCAACTGTTCAGACTTACAGTGAAAAAAAAATTTTAATGCTAGTTAAAAAAACATGCATAGCTATATACTTTTAAAAAATCTTCCAGAGGCCACATGATCAAGATGGTTTGGGACTAACGAATAACCTGTAGGCGACTTTCTGAGAGCTGAGCCTACCACACTAGGACGATACAGCGGCCATGTACTCCATTACATGCTAGACTCATTTTCACAGAGGAAATCTGTTTCCCGTAAAGCTTTCCCACTTTCGATGGTTGATCCTTTCTGCTTGTCAGCTTAAAGATGGCTCTTTGGTGGGCAGTATGGTTTGAAGATAAAGTACAGACTTGTGGCTGTTACTCTGAACTCTTCAGCACTCAGCTTTTTAGACTTGTTCTTGTTACATGCCTGTGGGCCGCAGTCCCTTTTAGCCTCCAGATGATTCTACTAATTAGTTGGCATATATATTCTGATTGTCCAGATGGTATGAGCAGTTAACTTAATGTTAAATTATCGATATTATAGTTGTTAACATTACATTGACTTGATATTAAAGTATTAAAAATTGACATGAGTGTGCAGGCTTCCTGGAGTAGCGTGGGACCGTTGTTCTGGTTGGTGACCATTCTGGCACTGAGTTGGCGCCGCCCTCTTGCTTGGTCCTGTGCGCGGCTGGGAATTCAGAGCGTCTGTTTGTTCTTCTCAGCAACAGTGTTCTAGGTGTATGAAGACAGCTTTCACTCCTTTGCTGAGTCTTTGCAGGCTCAGCTGTTCTTTCTCATGTGATGTTTTGAATTCTTTTAGTCCCTGAATATCTTCCATTTTTTTCTGAATCTCCTCTGAAGTGTGGTGCTCCCAAGAGGTCATGCAGGTGTCCAGAGGTCACCTGTAGAAGTGTATTACTACAGCCCCATAGCAGGATCCCTATCACGGGTGTGTCTTCCCTTTACAGAGGGAGGGACAGAGCAGTGAATGCTGAGCTTCAACTCTCCAGCCAAGCAGTAGAGGCCCTGGGGCTGGAGCCTCCATGGGGAAGGCCTCAGCCCTTCCCACAGCCCTCTGTGCATCACTCACAAGCACACGCTTCCTGTGGAGTTCCTGTTTATCACATTCTGTTTTATTTTTTCCAGGTATTAGGCACGTTTGGTACCTAGTATGAAAGCATGGCCAGGGCAGGCTCAGCCCCTGTATAGCCTGGGGGCCTCCGACACCGTGGCCTTACGCTGCGTTTCTCATCTGCACAGGGCAAGTGTAGTAGTGCCTTCCTCAGAGGCTGTCGCGGGCGATGAGCGGTGGGTGCGTGGACAGTGCGCCTGGCATTTTACACCTTTGTGTGCTGTTCATTCTGAAGAAGAAAGTGGGCAGTGTCTCAATATTATGTTGGCTCATTCGGTCGGTAATGGTCAGTCGCAGTCTGCTGCTCTTACCCCCTCAGGTGAATGTGCTGAGGGTCTTCATGGGTTCCCCGCATGGACTCAACCTGCGGAACGTCTTATGGCATGGCTTCGCATCCCCGCAGGAGATTCCTCCCAAGTAGGTTGCTAGTGAAGTGATTTTCTTTCTTTTTCGGTATACTTAAGAGTTTGTTTTATCTGAGTTTCATGTCACGGAGAGATGTATTTTGAGGAAGATAAGAGAGATCTGGGACAGGCTTTGAAGACAGAACTGAATGTTAATAGAATACAGGAGTGGTGGCAGTGCTGTGATTCGCTGACTTCCACCCCAGAGGCAGTTTGGAGGTTAGACCAGATGCCCAGCCTCCGGGTAGGGGGAGGACACGAAGGTTCCAGTTCACAGGTTTCCGAGATATGTTCTCCCTAACCATGCACAGGTCAGTTCCTACCAATGCCTGCAGCCGGTTGGGGAGACTTCCTGCAGTTTAATGGTGTTTTGCTTTATTTTAAACTTTTTTTTTCCTGTGTATGACTGAGTCATTTTTCTAACCGATCTCTGGCATTTCCCATTAGGTACTGTTCAATGATGCTGCTGCTCATGGTGGGACTGGGTCAGCTGCTGCAGAGTCACCTGCGACGTACACGAGCCACATTGGCGCACCGACCTTTTGTGGCTCTGCCAGACTTGAAGGATGCAGTCGTTTTCCCTGGCAAGGACGGCACTTCACATTTGTCCCTGTCTTGTCATCAGGATATTTATAAAGCCATTAAATAGTGTTAAGACTTGAACTTTTTGGGGGAATGGTTGTTCTCAGTGGCAGGAGGCCTTTGAAAATTGCATAAGGCTTTTGAATGTGCCACATAAAACCTTACCTCTTCCCACTGTGCCCCCAGGGGCCATGGGGTCTTTGAGAGTCACGGCCACGTGGGTCAGTATTAGTGATGGACTCAGGCTGTCCCAAAGGTGTGCTGGCGTGTAGATGGCTCGGGCCATTTTGTAATTTATGTACATTCCCTCATCCTGTGAGTTTTGTGCCTTTGTGCCGATGACCAGAGTGTCACGAGTATAAATGGTCTCCTATAGCTTCGTTTTTACCCCATGACAAATCCCTTTGCATATTATTGGGGCGGGGGCACAAAGCTTTGAAAGTGCAGTTAAACCAAGTGTTTGGTCCAAGCCCACCCCTTTCCACTCCGGCAACACAGATGTTAACACCTTATTTGCTGATGGAAATTGTGAAGGAATCAGCTGATGATCTTGGCTGTTTAGTCTTTTTGAGCCATTTACCCTTTTGGTGACTGTCCAGAGTATGTATTTTTTAAGCCTTTTTTTTTTTTAGGGTAGTTTTAAGTTTACAAGTTTGAGAGGAAGGTACAGAGATTTCCCATGCTCCCCTGGGAGCCCCCTGTTGTCAGCATCCCCACAACATGGTGCATTTGTTGCCAGGGTGGACATGTCGTCACCCAGGGCTCATAGTTCACCTCGGGGCTTATTCTTGGTTCCTGTATCTTCCAGAGGTGTTTATCTTTTCTTGGTCAGTGTGGTCAGCTGGCCAGTCCTGAACTCCCAGAAGCTGGAGCCTCAGTCACTGGGAGGTGTGCTTGTCCGCACCCCCTGTTCCGGGAGCTCCCGCGCCCCCTGGAGCTGTGCTGCTGGTGCAGGCAGGGTCCTCACAGTGTGTGCTGCCCCAGGGACCTAGACGGCTTAGTGTGTCAGCACCACTGCCCCAGTGTCTCACGTCTTTTCCCCGTGGCCAAGTGTGATGAGGCTAATGTATTTGCCTTTTTGCAGATGTTACACATGACGTGCTTTCGGTGTTAGAAGAAGGGATGAGGAAGTCCACTTTTGTGCTGAAAAGCATGTTGCCATATTGGGAACTTGCATTAATCAAGTTCAAGTCACACAGGTAACCGAAGGGCGGTATTACAAAGGTGGTTACTGATGATGTGGAGGCCAGTCCTTAAAATCTTCCATAGTCCACACTTTTTTGCTGTTGGAATCTAATAAAAGTGGGGCTGACTTAGGAGTAGAGCTGAGCATAAAATATCAACATGTAATTAGTTGAAAGATACCTAATTGTGTTTTAACATTACGTACCATCCTTTTGGTACAGTTAATAAAGATAATTATCTTTTAGAGGCAACTTTTAGATAATTTTCTGAGTTCTTACCATGAGTGAAATACTGTGCTCAGTGTTAGAGAACCATGAGGCCGAGAGGAGGTGAGTTGCCTTCACGTCCCCAAGCAGCAGAGCGTCTGCGTGCAGATGTGAGGAGGACAGTGGCTTTCACTTCCTTTCAGGTCTGTGATCCTGACCCTTGTTTGTAGGTCTTGAGAACCACTGAAATCCTGCTGTTTGCATTTCTTTAAGAAGTCATGACTTGAATTAAGCAGATCTTTGATGGCATTTTATTTGGCTGAAGCTATTAAAAATGTTTCATCACACAAAAAACACTGGAGAATAGTCATAGAATCACAAGCCTTTGCTCCTCATGCCCTACTTGCTTTGAGTGCATGTTGGCACATCTGGGATGCAGCTCTGTTACTGTGGTATTGTTGCCAACATTTACTTTTTTTTTTAAATTTTGTTATCATTAATCTACAATTACATGAAGAGCATTATGTTTATTAGGGTCCCCCCTTCACCAAGTCCACCCCCCCCACAAATCCCATTACAGTCACTGTCCATTAGTGTAGTAAGATGTTGTAGAATCACTACTTGTTTTCTCTGTGTTGCACAGCCCTCCCCGTGCCTCCCCCCACACATTATACATGCTAATCATAATGCCCCCTTTCTTTTTCCCCGCCCTTTTCCCTCCCTTCCCTCCCATCCTCCCCAGTCCCTTTCCCTTTGGTAACTGTTAGTCCATTCTTGGGTTCTGTGATTCTGCTGCTGTTTTGTTCCTTCAGTTTTTCTTTGTTCTTATACTCCACAGATGAGTGAAATCATTTGGTACTTGTCTTTCTCCGCCTGGCTTATTTCACTGAGCATAATACCCTCTAGCTCCATCCATGTTGTTGCAAATGGTAGGGTTTGTTTTCTTCTTACGGCTGAATAATATTCCATTGTGTATATGTACCACCTGTTCTTTATCCATTCATCTACTGATGGACACTTGGGTTGCTTTCATATCTTGGCTATTGTAAATAGTGCTGTGATAAACATGGGGTACACCTGTCTTTTTCAAACTGGGCTGCTGCATTCTTAGGGTAAATTCCTAAAAGTGGAATTCCTGGGTCAAATGGTATGTCTATTTTGAGCATTTTGAGAAACCTCCATACTGCTTTCCACAATGGCTGAACTAATTTACATTCCCACCAGCAGTGTAGGAGGGTTCCCCTTTCTCCACAACCTCACCAACATTTCCAACATTTACTTTTTAAACAGTTTTGCATATTTTCCTTTGATTTCCCAGGTTTGCTGACTGTGCCATTTTGTTGTTGACACAGCTGGAGGCAGGACTTAGGAAAGTCTTCGCCGGTGTCAACCAGTGTCCGCAGAGACTGCTGACCGCTGAGGTACATGTGTGTCCATGGCTGGCTGCCATGGTTGTTGATGTTCTCCTGACAGTTTTCTGTGCCAACTGAAATTTTTAACATCTTATTTTTGTTGTTCATTGAGTTTTTTAGCTAAGAACTTTATTTGGAAGTTTTGACTGTCATTTTTTGTGGCTTTCTATTATAATGATTTTATATTATTTGTGCTTACGATTGTTTTTGATAGTTCTATAATATCTCCAATAGTTTTTTAAACTTAATGATGTCATAAAAGTCATAACCACTGATTTTCTCTCTGAAGCATAATTGCTGGCATACTGTTGTAACCCCAGGAGGTGGTCTGTGGTCTACAGGGAGCCCCTCTTTAAGGGCACTGCTTCCTCTTGGCCAGAACTTCCAGGGGGCTTGGAGGTATTCCTGGGTGGCTAGGCGCCAGTTAGCTGAAAGAAGGTCTGTCAGGCGGGGGAGGGAGACCATGCTGCCTCCGGAATATCGTGTGCTCTTGTTTCTTTCACTCTCCAGTTTCCTCTTTTTGCCCCTGTATGTAGGCATCCCTCAGAATTCTGTGGTCAACCCTGTCCTCTCCCTACATGTGCTCTGTGGGAGATCTCACACAATTGCGTGTGAACCTCTGTAGAGCGATTAGAAAAGACTTTGAACCCAATGAAAATGAAAGCCCAGCATATCAGCAGCTGTTGCCGTGGGTAACGCAGTGCTAAGAGGGCAGTTCATGGCACTACCTTCCAGCGGCCCAGCGCTCGGTCTCTGCCTCAGCCCTCCTTCTCCTCTTGGGGTGTTGCCTGTCTGCTGCGTATCTTCATCTGCGTTTTCCCCAGCACCTCAGATCTAGTTTATTTCAGGATGGCGTGTTTTTCTCCCACAGATCTGTCCTCTGGTTCTCCTGTCGTCCCTGTCCTCCAGCTGCACTGGCCCCAGACTTCACCCCCGCCCGTGCTTCGCCAGCACCTCGCACTCTTCACCCGCTCCGTCTGCCCCTGATTTACCCTGCACCCCATCTCTTTAGCACTGAGACCACCTGGCCTCCTCGCTGTGCCCTCCTGAGCTCGCCTCCCAGCTGATCTTCGTGGTTCTCTTCCTTCTCAAATCCATTCTCACATTGCTGCTAATTATTTTCCAAATTAATAAATGTTCTTACCATCCTGGATGGTCCCATCTGCCTAAAGCTCTTTAGGTGTCCCTACACCTACCAGCCAGGTTCACACCTTCAGGAGCACAGTGTGGTCCCCAGCCTCTCTCCAGCTTGTCTCCTGTCCGACCGCTCCGGGAACCAAGCTCCTCTAGCGCGTGCCTCTGCTCTAACTTGCGCTGCTTTGCAGAGAAACCTAAGTGAGGGGAGGTGTCCAGGGCTTCCCTTCTAGAAGGTTTGGAATTGGGGATCCGATGCTGAGGCAGCGTTGCCCCAGAGCCTGGTCTGTAAACTGCTGAGACACCAGGATACGTGAAAAACAAAGGCCGTTTGGTGGAGAAAATACTCGGGTGTGCTCACTTGTACACACATACCAGCCATCAGTAGAAATACTCTGTGCAAGTAATGATTTGTGAAGTTACAGGGTCTTTACTTTCAGAATGTGAGCTAAGGACAGAGTGTGTTCTCATGTGAGGGCAGTGTTCTAACGCGGTTCAATGGCCAGCTTCACTTTTACAATGTGTTTATGTTGTCAGTGATGTTCTGAAGCATTGCTAGATATTTATATTCAAAAGAATATTTCATGTTTGTGGCTGCGTGCTAGAATTTTTTCCTTCTATAAATAATGTTACTCTACTTGTATTTTGCTTTAATTATTTTTTTCTTTCCTTTTCTGAAGTCAACAGCTCTTTATACCACTTTTGATGAAGTAAGTAAACATAAGATTTGAAACAAGCAAAATATGTACTCTTTTAAAATACAAATTAAAAATCAGCCATGCATCATATGCTTATAGGAAAATAGTGATAGTCATATAAGCCAAAAAGGAAAAGAAAGCTTATCATAGAGGTAAATACAGTTTTCAGGCTAATTTTGAGACTCAATATTATTGGTCTAGTTTCTAAAGTTATAAAAGGCCAAAGTTGGAAAATGCCAAGAGATACTAACATTATATGCTGTAATTATTTGAGGCTTACATTTTAGGTTTAAGGGTAATACTTCCTTGCACATGAAATACACATCAGCCACTGTTAGGAGTACACAGACACTCATGCATTTAATCTGTGAACTGGTCGTGTGGTTCTGAGAGTGAAAATCTGGAATAATAAAGATGACCATTGAAAATACCTTTAATGACTTGTAGAGTTATAGTGGCATGTGTGTGATCCTGGGTAGTAATTCTCTTGCCCTAAAGCCGATACTGCAGAGCTCGCCTGCAGGAGAGACAGAGGGAATGTTTGTGCAGAGATGGGGGCATTCAGATAGTTTTGCCTTTAAGATAACCACTAGATTCCTAAGTGGGTGGCTGGTGGGTGAATTAAAAAATGTTCCTGCAGAGTTTATTCCATAAGGTAAATAATTGGCTATTATTTAAATATGTTTGATATCATGAAGATTAATTTAGAAGAGTCACATCTTTGTAAGACTAGGTCTGAAGGATTGCATTGGGTGGTTGGGTTCCAAAGTCCATGGTGAATTAAGTGACTCAGAAAGTAGCTCTGATGTGTACTTTCCTACACACATGCATGCATGAGTCAATACACGCATACACATATCTATACAGAGATATACATGTGCATATACACGTAAATACACATGAACACATGTGCACAATGAAGAAGATACAATACATACCTTCTTAGAGTCACACTGGTTTAGAAAGACCTACCCGCACAGGCAGCTGCTATTCTTGAGACCATTGCCAATGTGCTTAGTGTCCTTGGGACTCACGTGGCGTGCTGTACCAAAGACAGTGTGGCCTTTGACTCTGGAAGTTCTGTGCATGTGTGTGTGTACCATTTAATCAGTTTGCTTATTTTTGGTACTGCAGATCCTGGCAAAACACTTGAACGATGGTCAAATCAATCAACTTCCCCTTTTCCTTGGAGGGCCTGCCATGGTAAGGAATTAGGCCTGTTCTCATCCATATTCTTGTATTTATGTGACTGGCTGTTCTCCAAAATGAAACGATTCTGGCTAGTGGCAGGGTTCTGAACCATTCCCCTGTGTTTCAGGCCACCTGTGCAGCAGGGATTTGCTGAGCCCTGACTCCAGCTCAGGGACTAAGCTTCAGGCTAGTTGCATACAGCTTCAAACAGTTCTTGGCTTGTTGGGACAGGCCTGTGTCTGCTCTGTGCACCTCCGTGGCAGTCAGAGGAGATGAAGGCTGAGTGTTGGATGTGAGAGAATTGTTCATCGTTGAGCTGATTGCTATTTACTGACTTTTTGTGCTTTATGACTGAAAGAGGAGTCTACTTTGGACTGAAAAGAGGAGTTTATATTTATCCATTTAACTGGGAGTTGGCAATCCAGGTCCTAGTCCTGCTGTGTGACATGAGGCAGGTTGTGTGTGCTTTCAGGCGTCTCCTGCTGCCATCAGGAAGCTTGGAAGACTGAACTAGTTTCTCTAACACTCTCCCATCTTGATTCTGCAACACTTCTGCCCACTGGCAGTTTCCTGGGGCAGTGGTTCCCTGGTTCTCTCCACTCCACCCTGGAGCAGAGGCCTGGGACTCGTGCTGTAAAGGGCTCCAGAAATGGGACAGACTTGTGTGAGCAGCTTGGGAGAGGCGTGAGGAGACAGAGAGCAGGGCTGAGGTCACCCACTGCACAGTGGTGATTTCTCTTTCCGCATGGGAAGTGGGCACCCTGTGTGGACAGCTCAGGGCCGCTTCATGGAGGAGGGTGAGGGAGGGCTGGGGTTGGTTCACTAGCTTTGGAGCCATCCATGTGGCTCTGTGCATGTAGTGGTCAATCCTCTGAACACTGCAGTCCATCCTGCCCCAAGCAGCGGGTGCAGTCAGAGAGCAGGGCCTGCCAGTGGGATTCCTGCCCTGAGCAGCAGGTGCAGTTAGAGGGCAGGGCCTGCCAGAGGGAATCCCAGTTTGGTACTTGGCAGTTATATGACTGATTATATCAGTCTTTTGGGGGCACTTTTTCTTGCGTGTGCAGATGAACATTGCTGTTCCTCACATGTGTCAGGCGTGGTCCATTTTGGGCCTTAGAACATTTCCTCCCTCAGCTAAGAATAGTAACAAAATTTTTTCTGTTTTTTTTCCCTGAAAGGAATTTCTGTGGGATTTCCTGAACCATCAGGAGGGTCCCCGTATAAGAGATCATTTAAGCCATGGGGAAATTAATCTACTTGAGTTTCCAAAAGAAGCAGCAGATCAGTTGCTTGCATTTTCCATTGTACTTTTACTCAGATTTGTTGACGAAGACCTGTCATCATCATTTCAGGTAAGGTATAGGAAGGACAGCCAGTAATTAGGGTCACTGTCATTCAGCTATGAAAGAATGTAGGCTACTTTGAAATATAATTAACTCTAAATCTTTAGTTTTGATGTCTCTGAGTTACAGTGTGCCTTCATCACAACAGGTAATTGTGGCTTGATGACATGCGTGTGTATCCTCTGTAACAGGTCAGAATTATTTAATCTAATGTAAAATAATTTAACTCAGTTAAGATGCATTTGCTTTTGTTTTTAACAACAGGATGTTGCAAACCTAAGAACAAAGTATAAAACAGGATTAATTAAGCATGCCAGCAAGCTATGGCAGGGTGTAGTACTTGCATCTATTGATAAACTAATTCTTTAGTTTTAAAATAAATAGGTTAGAATGTTTGTTACTGGTATTTTAATTCTTTTTTTCAGACTAATGTAGTAATTGTAGTAATTACTGTAAATATTGCTTAGAAGTTCACATAGGTAACAAGTTAACACAGAAGTGGGAGCCCTCGGGTTCCTCCCCCAGAGATGCACGTGAGTGGCTGGGCATGTGCTGCCCCGCTCCGAGGGCTCCCCACGGGGGCTCATGGCACCATCGAGTCTGTTTTTGGCTCCTGTGTTCTGCCTGATTTTATCACCTGTTTGGCATTCCACTTGATCAATACAGTATTACTTGCTTAAGCTGACCTCGTTAGGTGAGCTCTAATTGTCTCTAATGTGGGAAATTCCTGATGACCCTACTGAAGTCAGTACCTTCATTGCTTGGGGGCTCGTACAAGTAAATGTGCAAAAGTAAATCTCTAAGGTAAAAGAAAGCAGTAGGACGCTGTTTCATTTTTACTTGTGTATTATTTTGCTGTATTTTCTTCTATTTATTGGAAGTTTGCAGTTCTCTTGTAAATTGCCTGTTAATGTCTTTGCTCCATTTTATGCAGTTTTATTTTTGCTGTTTTATTTGTCATTTTCAATGAGCATGTTGCTTGTTTGTGTTTTGAAGTTTTTTGTCTTTGGCTGATGCATTTGGAATTATTCTTAAAAGACTGTTTACTTTTCAAAATTTTATATTTATGTTTATATATTTTCCCTAGTATTTCTATAGTTCTTTTTTTCCATTCATGTCTTTTGATCCAGCTGGAATTTATTAAATGTGGGAGTGAGAGAATCTAACTTTATTTTCTTTGCAAATTGCTTGCAGGGTGGCCACACACCATTTAGAGAGTAAACATGTGTATGTTGTGCACTGGACTCCACATGTCTTTACTGACCTTCATGTTGCAGTTTAATATCTGTAAGCCTACCGCTCCCCTGGACCCTGAGGCTCCCTCCTGTGGCCCCTCCATGGCCAGAGTGGCCCCCCCAGTGCCTCCCTCTGGGCTTCCACGGCTGCCCTGTGCCAGCCGTGGGGCCACTGGATCCCTGTGGGCCTCACCACCACCCTTCACACCATGTATGTCTTAGCTGCCCCCAAGAAGGCGGCCTTTGTGCACCCCCAGAGCACTGCCTGCCTTCCTGGAGGCCTCAGGTGTTCGTGAGTGAATGTTGAGTGTCCATCGTCTTCAGGTAGTGTCTAGGTGTTTTGTTTATTTTGTGCTGTTGGGAACTCTAGGTAGCCTGCCTGTGTGTAGGAAGGCTAGGGAGTTTTGGGTGCTAAATTTGTCAACTATCAACCCACTGACTTTTCTTTTTGTTTCTAACAGTTTCCAGTCAACCAACTTGGATTTTCCAATTATGTAAATGTATCAGCTATAAATAGTGTTTTTCTTCTTTTTTTTGATATTTTGAATGTCCAGTGACTGTTATGTAATTCCCTATTAGTTGTGTTGATTTGTAATGTTTAAATCCCTGTTGTGTTCTGGCTTTTTAGGAGCTTCTTACATTTTCCTGTTGTTTGGAATCCTTTTCTTACTTATTTCTGGTTTTGTTTGTGGACAGAAAGTGGATGTGGCCTTTGTAGTTTATTGTTAACCGGCTTCATTTAAAATCATTTTGTTGGTTATGGTTTGACTACTGTGTCAAACCAATTTTAATAAAGAGTTTTGCTTTGTTATAGCTAAATAGAATTATGTGAAGGAAAATAATGAGAAACTGGGAATCCTACGTGACCTAAAATTCAATGGAAGAAAACACAAACCTAGTGGAAAGTTGTAGTAACAGCTGTCTATTTTTTCTGAACTAGGGAAAAGCGGCAATCCAGTCACTGGTGAGTCTTGCAGAAGGGTACAGCGCTCACTTCCATCCTGTTGCTCAGCTTAAAAAACAGGTGCGCTGCATGCAGGCCATGTGGGGTGCTCGTCGTCTCTGCAGAGCTGTCGGAGTGCAGGCTGGCCTGTCACGGTTGGCAGCTCTGCCTATGTCTGCAGCATGCTCTGCAGGCACATGGCTGTGGCCGAGTCACTCAGTCTCTCTGAGCTGCAGGCTCCATGTCCAGCAGTTGAAGTAATGGCAGTATTTGCTTCTCTGGGAGGTTTTGGTGCTTACCAGGGACCACCGGGAGGTGAAGAGCACAGCACTCTGGTGGGCTGTTACTATTGCCATTGACCCAGGACTACCAGCACTTCTCCTGGTCGGCGGTGAGACACGTCAGCTTTCCCTTTACCATCTAAGACCAACTTTATTAACCTGTAAATTAAAGCAAACAACAAACCTTCAGCATGTCTGTCAGGAAGTTCCAATGTGGAAATCAGCTTATGTTCTTGATTGTTATATAGTAGGATATGAAGGTGGTACTAAGGGCAGAAATGGGATTGTGTCCAAAAATACAATGTGACAGTTAATGAACTTCGAAATTCACCACTGAGATTGCTCTCTAAAAGGAGACTGTAAAATAGCACATAGTGGGTTAGGGGGAGACAGGCAACTGAAGGACCAGTGCCTGGAGAAGCTTGAGTCTGACTGATGGCATGTTAGAAGAGATGACGTCAGGTAGAGGGGACTATCAGCAGTAGAGGTGTGACCAGCCTAGTGCTGTTCAAGAAGGTCCCCAGCCTGTGCGGACTGCTCCACGGCAGCCGGTATATAGAGCCCAACACAAGGCCGCCAAACTAGACCCCACTGGACTCAGGGACTCTGGTGGAACCCTCTTGGTAGCAGGACACTCCCCAAAGCTAGTTCTGATTCATCAGAGGGGGTCATGGACCCCAGCTCAGAACAGAAGGGGTGTCACAGAATTTGTGGAGATGTTTTACAATGACCCTAGACATTGACTACCTGCTAATCCCCTGTATTTTCATTGGCCTTCCCATATCTTACTGTATTGAATAGCTAAGACCCACACCTAGTTTTAAAATGATTAAGATCTGTAACGATTTTACAAAAATATTGCAACATCTGTAATGACTCAACAGCATATTTTCTGGAATGCTGCTCTAAAATCTTTAAAAGCAATTAGGCATTCTCCTCTCAGGTGCTGAGCTGTGAGAAGCGCATCAGGGCCTGGCCTTGTCTGCCTCTGCCCGAAGAGGCTGAGAGGGGAGCAGCCAGGTGAGTTCCATCTGGGCCGCACGGACCTCTCAGGTGTCAGCGAGCATCAGCCTCTGGGGAGCACCCAGGAGGGGATCAGCAAGCCTCAGTGCCTGCTCCAGGCCAAGGGCTGGCGGTGCAGGGAGCGTGACCCCCCGGCTCACGCCTGATGAGCGGTGGGGCTGTCAGCACAGACCAAGGAGCTGGGAACAGGCAGGTCAGTGGGGAGGAGGGTGGTTTCCACTAGAAACTTAGTGGGCAGTTAGAAATCGGGCCCCAGGCTCCAGAGAGAAGTGAGGATAGAGGCACATGTTTGGAGTCACAGGGCACAGCAGATCCATCTTGTGGGAACAGTGCTCAGATGATTCACGGGCTGTCTTTTGTCAACAAACTGCTGCTTTCAGCATGTTGTGTCCTTCATTTTTACCGCTGTCTCCAATAGCTTTTTCATTTTATATTTGGAGAAACGAAGTTGCAGGTCAAGTGCTTTTCTCAGTGAACCACTGAAATAAGCATTATTTTGTAACAGGCACTAATTGGGCATCTTATTGTTGTCATGTATCTGAATATTTTCTGTTTTTCAGATTAGAAGGTGATTCTGAAACAAAAGCCTGCAGTGCCTTAATTATAAAAATCATGTGTGAGCTGTGCCGCCATGTGCCTGAGAGTCATTGTGTTTTTGAGGACTTGGATGATATTCCTCCTGAGAGGTAAGTTTCAGGACATCCTGAAAACTGTGAAAACATGAATTATGCAAGTTGAGATTGCAAACTTAGCTTTTCTGTGTTTTAAATTGTACAAGCCTGGTGGTGGCATTAAAATCACGCCCTGCTGTCCCCAAGAGGAACATCAGATAAGCTTCGATTGTCTGCACTTGTTGGGCTGTCTGCTGGCAGTTAAAGTACTTTGCTCACAAGTAAGCGTGCATTCCTGTAATCTGGCTTGTGTAACAGCTATACTGGCAGAGTGGAAAACTACGTGAGCTGACCTCTGCAGAAGCTTCCTGCCCGGGCGGTCCAGGCGTAACATGAACAGTGAAGAGCAGGCGCTGGCCTGCCCGTCACAAGGCTTGTTCCCCCCCGCAGGTGGCCCCAGCTGCTCGGCAGCCTCTGCAGCGTCCCGGTGCCAACCCTGTTCTGCCCCAGAGCCGTTCTGGAAGTGATCACGGTGCTGCAGAGTACGAGCACGTGCTGCGCCCAGGTGTCCGGCCAGGTCACTGCCTCCTTGGAGCAGAGGCACCAGCTTTGGGCGGAGAGGCGGCTGCGCTCCCGGCAGAGGAGGAGCTTCCTGCACATGTTGGGCAGGTGTGTGGCTCACCTCGCTTTGGGGGAGTTGCCTTGGGGTGCAGCCTGATGCTTGCTTTCTGAGGAAGTTACGATATACACTGCTATAAAGTACGCTTGTGATTCCGACTTTTGGGAATAAGGATTCTACTGACCCAATGCTTGTGATTCTGGCATTTGGGAATAAGGATTCTACTGACCCAAACAAGTATTTGGATTTAAAATGTAACAGCAGATGACCTCAGGTGTAAGGACTGTGGTTTCTTCACTTACACTCTGTATTTTGGAATATATTACATCCTTAAGAAATTACCAGTTTAGACAAAAGACAGTATTTTGAATTGAGTGGCCTCTTCATCCGTAAAGCTGTTAATAGGTATTTGTCAGGTGCTTCTGAAAGGTTACACCAGGTTTTTATGATGATGCCTGTTACATCATTCCCAAAACAGGATATACAGTTGACCCTGAACAATGTGAATGTAGTTGAAAATCTGTGTATAACTTTTGACCCCCTAAAAATTTATTAGTAGCTCATCATTGACAAGAAGCCTTTATTAAACAGTTCCCACATACTTTGTTGTAGTAACAGCTGTCTATTTTTTCTGAACTAGGGAAAAGCGGCAATCCAGTCACTGGTGAGTCTTGCAGAAGGGTACAGCGCTCACTTCCATCCTGTTGCTCAGCTTAAAAAACAGGTGCGCTGCATGCAGGCCATGTGGGGTGCTCGTCGTCTCTGCAGAGCTGTCGGAGTGCAGGCTGGCCTGTCACGGTTGGCAGCTCTGTCTATGTCTGCAGCATGCTCTGCAGGCACATGGCTGTGGCCGAGTCACTCAGTCTCTCTGAGCTGCAGGCTCCATGTCCAGCAGTTGAAGTAATGGCAGTATTTGCTTCTCTGGGAGGTTTTGGTGCTTACCAGGGACCACCGGGAGGTGAAGAGCACAGCACTCTGGTGGGCTGTTACTATTGCCATTGACCCAGGACTACCAGCACTTCTCCTGGTCGGCGGTGAGACACGTCAGCTTTCCCTTTACCATCTAAGACCAACTTTATTAACCTGTAAATTAAAGCAAACAACAAACCTTCAGCATGTCTGTCAGGAAGTTCCAATGTGGAAATCAGCTTATGTTCTTGATTGTTATATAGTAGGATATGAAGGTGGTACTAAGGGCAGAAATGGGATTGTGTCCAAAAATACAATGTGACAGTTAATGAACTTCGAAATTCACCACTGAGATTGCTCTCTAAAAGGAGACTGTAAAATAGCACATAGTGGGTTAGGGGGAGACAGGCAACTGAAGGACCAGTGCCTGGAGAAGCTTGAGTCTGACTGATGGCATGTTAGAAGAGATGACGTCAGGTAGAGGGGACTATCAGCAGTAGAGGTGTGACCAGCCTAGTGCTGTTCAAGAAGGTCCCCAGCCTGTGCGGACTGCTCCACGGCAGCCGGTATATAGAGCCCAACACAAGGCCGCCAAACTAGACCCCACTGGACTCAGGGACTCTGGTGGAACCCTCTTGGTAGCAGGACACTCCCCAAAGCTAGTTCTGATTCATCAGAGGGGGTCATGGACCCCAGCTCAGAACAGAAGGGGTGTCACAGAATTTGTGGAGATGTTTTACAATGACCCTAGACATTGACTACCTGCTAATCCCCTGTATTTTCATTGGCCTTCCCATATCTTACTGTATTGAATAGCTAAGACCCACACCTAGTTTTAAAATGATTAAGATCTGTAACGATTTTACAAAAATATTGCAACATCTGTAATGACTCAACAGCATATTTTCTGGAATGCTGCTCTAAAATCTTTAAAAGCAATTAGGCATTCTCCTCTCAGGTGCTGAGCTGTGAGAAGCGCATCAGGGCCTGGCCTTGTCTGCCTCTGCCCGAAGAGGCTGAGAGGGGAGCAGCCAGGTGAGTTCCATCTGGGCCGCACGGACCTCTCAGGTGTCAGCGAGCATCAGCCTCTGGGGAGCACCCAGGAGGGGATCAGCAAGCCTCAGTGCCTGCTCCAGGCCAAGGGCTGGCGGTGCAGGGAGCGTGACCCCCCGGCTCACGCCTGATGAGCGGTGGGGCTGTCAGCACAGACCAAGGAGCTGGGAACAGGCAGGTCAGTGGGGAGGAGGGTGGTTTCCACTAGAAACTTAGTGGGCAGTTAGAAATCGGGCCCCAGGCTCCAGAGAGAAGTGAGGATAGAGGCACATGTTTGGAGTCACAGGGCACAGCAGATCCATCTTGTGGGAACAGTGCTCAGATGATTCACGGGCTGTCTTTTGTCAACAAACTGCTGCTTTCAGCATGTTGTGTCCTTCATTTTTACCGCTGTCTCCAATAGCTTTTTCATTTTATATTTGGAGAAACGAAGTTGCAGGTCAAGTGCTTTTCTCAGTGAACCACTGAAATAAGCATTATTTTGTAACAGGCACTAATTGGGCATCTTATTGTTGTCATGTATCTGAATATTTTCTGTTTTTCAGATTAGAAGGTGATTCTGAAACAAAAGCCTGCAGTGCCTTAATTATAAAAATCATGTGTGAGCTGTGCCGCCATGTGCCTGAGAGTCATTGTGTTTTTGAGGACTTGGATGATATTCCTCCTGAGAGGTAAGTTTCAGGACATCCTGAAAACTGTGAAAACATGAATTATGCAAGTTGAGATTGCAAACTTAGCTTTTCTGTGTTTTAAATTGTACAAGCCTGGTGGTGGCATTAAAATCACGCCCTGCTGTCCCCAAGAGGAACATCAGATAAGCTTCGATTGTCTGCACTTGTTGGGCTGTCTGCTGGCAGTTAAAGTACTTTGCTCACAAGTAAGCGTGCATTCCTGTAATCTGGCTTGTGTAACAGCTATACTGGCAGAGTGGAAAACTACGTGAGCTGACCTCTGCAGAAGCTTCCTGCCCGGGCGGTCCAGGCGTAACATGAACGGTGAAGAGCAGGCGCTGGCCTGCCCGTCACAAGGCTTGTTCCCCCCCGCAGGTGGCCCCAGCTGCTCGGCAGCCTCTGCAGCGTCCCGGTGCCAACCCTGTTCTGCCCCAGAGCCGTTCTGGAAGTGATCACGGTGCTGCAGAGTACGAGCACGTGCTGCGCCCAGGTGTCCGGCCAGGTCACTGCCTCCTTGGAGCAGAGGCACCAGCTTTGGGCGGAGAGGCGGCTGCGCTCCCGGCAGAGGAGGAGCTTCCTGCACATGTTGGGCAGGTGTGTGGCTCACCTCGCTTTGGGGGAGTTGCCTTGGGGTGCAGCCTGATGCTTGCTTTCTGAGGAAGTTACGATATACACTGCTATAAAGTACGCTTGTGATTCCGGCTTTTGGGAATAAGGATTCTACTGACCCAATGCTTGTGATTCTGGCATTTGGGAATAAGGATTCTACTGACCCAAACAAGTATTTGGATTTAAAATGTAACAGCAGATGACCTCAGGTGTAAGGACTGTGGTTTCTTCACTTACACTCTGTATTTTGGAATATATTACATCCTTAAGAAATTACCAGTTTAGACAAAAGACAGTATTTTGAATTGAGTGGCCTCTTCATCCGTAAAGCTGTTAATAGGTATTTGTCAGGTGCTTCTGAAAGGTTACACCAGGTTTGTATGATGATGCCTGTTACATCATTCCCAAAACAGGATATACAGTTGACCCTGAACAATGTGAATGTAGTTGAAAATCTGTGTATAACTTTTGACCCCCTAAAAATTTATTAGTAGCTCATCATTGACAAGAAGCCTTTATTAAACAGTTCCCACATACTTTGTATGCTGTATTATATACTGTATTTTTATAATAAACTAAGCATGAGAAATGTTTTTTCAAATTGTTGCAAATCTTCAAAAATATTTCCAATATTTTTATTGACAAAGTTCAAGTATAAGTGGACCCATGCAGTTCAAATCCATGTCGTTCAAGGGTCAACTGTATTTTTAAAAACCTCTACCATTTCATAGTAAATATATCTTACTTTAGTTGGAACTTCTTTGAGTTTCAGAGGCATTGAACACAGGTTCTTTTTAGGCCGTTCGTGTTTCTTCTTGTGAGAGTCCTTACTGAACATCATATGAGAAAGAGGCTGGTGGGTGGCATATAATACGAGGACCAGGTGGAGGCCCTGGATGCAAAGCTGGCCAGTCCTGGTGCCCGAATAGCAGCGTCAGCTGCCGGAAGCTGGGCTACAGCTCAGAATAAGACGTGGGAGCTCTGTCAGCCAAAACCAGCACCCTGAGTGGAGGGGCTGGGGCAAGGTTGGCCTGCAGGGCCAGGGGCTCCCGGTCACTAGGAAAACAACTGCAGACATGGGGTTTTCCTGAGAAGTTTGGATTTACGGGCCCCTGAGAAAAGGGTTGGTTAGGTGAAACATTTTTTCCTTATGAAAGTGAAAAGCACGTTTGTCATGTTTTAACTTATTTTCTCTATTTTTAGCATTAAGCTTCTGTCTTATGCACTCCACCTGATTTTATTGCTGATCGCCCTGGAATTGATCAACGTTCATGTGGTTTGCGCAAAAAATACTCACGACTATCAGCGGTATCTAAAGTGAGTGTGTCGTTGGGAATGAAACTATGCTTTGATAATTTTAAATGACTTTCACTCCCGTTGGTTACTTCCTTTGATCCTCTTGAGCCCCACGTCTGGTCGGCCCTTCTTTCGCCTCTGGATTCGACACCTGTGCAGGTACATCTGCAGGAGGAAATACGACTTCCACAGGAAAGCTTCCAGGCCCTCAGCTGCACAGTCGCGCACAGGGAGTTGCCAGTGCCTGTGCTCGCGGGTTGCAGGTGCCTCAGCATGTGCAGTGAACGTGACAAGGGGAGCTCAGCATTTCGTTACAAGGCCTAGTCCAGACTACTGCGGGCGTAGCCCATGTGCAGGATGCTGGCAGTCAGTGCCCCTGGGCCAGGGACGCACGACTTTGGCACTAGACCTTTGAGCTGGGTTTTTCTTTTGGGGCTGGGGGCTGCCCAGGGCACTGTGTGACGTTTAGCAGCGGCCCTGGCCCCTACCCCCACCCCCGTGGGTGGCAGTGTAGCACCCTGCAGGTGTGATACCAGAAATGGGTTGGATGCTGCCAAATACCCTGGAGTGTAGAGCCACCCCAGCTGACGACCACTCTGCACAAAGGCTCTGTGGGTTTTTTTGCATTGTTATTTTAACCTCTAAGTTTTAAAATTTTCAAACTTAAAAGTCAGAGAAAATTTTAGAGCGACTTGGGATATATAAAAATGACATTTGTTCCCATCAATCAGAAGTAACCCCCTGTGAACATTTTGATAAATATCTTTAAGGAAAAGTCTTTCTTTTTTTTATTGTATTTTATTTTGGTATCATCAATCTATAATTATAGAATATATAATATTCCATAATGAGGAATATTATGTTTATTAGACTCCCCCCATCACCAGGAAAAGTCTTTCTTTTTTTAACTGAAAAATAGTTGATATACAGCATACATTGGTTTTAGGTATTCAATGTAGTGAGTCAGCACTCACATTATAGAACGCTCACGATGCTTAGTCACCATCTGTCACCATATGGAGGTAATATTACTATTTCCCTCTGCTGTACTTTCATCCCCACAACTTACTTTTTTAAGATTGGAAGTTTGTCCCTCTTTGTCCCCTACACCTGTTTCACCCTCACCCTTGTCCGCTCTGGCAACCGCCAGTCTGTTCAATGTATTTGTGACTGGTTCTGGGTTGCTTGTTTTGTTTTTTGTTCATTTGTTTTGCATTTCAGGTTACATATAAGTGACATCCTGTGGTACTTGTCTCTGTCTGACTCAGTGCACTCAGCATGGTGCCCTGTAGCTCTGTCCGTGTTGTTGCGAACAGCAGGGTTTTCCTGTCTGTGGCTGACAGTGCCCCGTTGTGTGTATGTACTGCTGCTCCATCCCCGAACCCTTCCATGGGCTCTTCCAATTGCTCCCATGTCTCAGCCATTGTAAATAATGCTCCATTAAACATAGCAGTCCATATGTCTTTTAGAATTAGTGGTTTTGTTTTCTTTGGGTAAATTTCCGGAAGTACAATTACTGCATCTTATGCTATTCTTCTATTTTTAATTTTCTAAAGATCCTCCATACTGTTTTCCATAGTGGCTGTACCAGTTTACATTCCCAACAGTGCAGGAAGGTTCCTTTTCTCTGTGTCCTCACCAACACTTGTTATTTCTTGTCTTTTGGGTAATGGCCATTCTAATTGGTGTGATGTGCTACCTCATTGTGGTTTTGATTGTTATTAACAATGTGGGGCATCTTTTCACATATCTGTTGGCCATCTGTATGTCTTTTTTGGAAAAATGTTCACATCCTCTGCCCATTTCTTAATTGGGTTATTATCTTGGTGTCGAGGTGTGTGAGTTCTTTATATATTTTGGATGTTAACCCCTTATCAGGTAAATCATTTATGAATATATTCTCCCGTACTATAGCCTGCCTTTTGTTCTGCTGATGGTGTCCTGTGCTGTACAGAAGCTTTTTAGTTCAGTATAATCCCACATGTTTATTTTTGCTCTTATTTCCCTTGCCTGGGGAGATATATCCAAAAAAAATTACTAATGCAGATGTTCAGGAGTTTTCTGCCTATGTTTTTTTCTAGGAGTTTTATGGTTTCTGGTCTTATATTTGGGTGTTGAATCCATTTTAAATTAATTTTTGTGTCTGCTGGCACACAGTGACCCAGTTTTTATCCTCTTGCATGTAGGTGTCCAGTTTTCCCAACACCAGCTACTGAAGAGGCTGTCATTTCCCCATTGTATATTCTTGCCCCCTTTGTCATGAGGAAAGCCTTACAGCGATCGCTGTCTTATAGTGGGATGTGTGCCCTGTGGGTGGTGGACTCTCCACCGTGGAGGAGAGGAGCTGATGGGTGGGGCGGAGGCACATTGCCCAGGGACGCCTGATGGGCGGGGGGTGCTTGTCAGTGTGATCCACGTGGCCCCTAAGATCCTATCTCAAACTAAGTTCCATCACTTAAAAATGTTATTCCTGGATGTGAGAGAGTTAAGTCGGCAAACTCCCAGGAGCCCGTCCTCTCGGGTGACACAGACGCTGCAGCGTTTCTCTTTTTCATCTAATTTGTATGCTCTTTATTTACATTTTGTATGTATTTTTCTTGAATTTGCAGCCAAAAATTAAGTATAATACTTTAATTGTAATTCCAAAATGAGAACATATTTAAATTTCTGCATTTTATAATAAAATTAATTAATTTCTTTGTTTAAAACAGGTTCTTAAAGTCGATCTTGCAATACACTGAGAACCTGGTGGTTTACACCAGCCCAGAGAAGAACAAGTGGAGTGGAATTACCAATCTCACACACACTGCTCTGTTGAGAATTTGGACTTTCAGTGAGAAGAAGCAAATGTTAACACATTTAGCCAAAACCCACAAATTAGACTGACCTCAGGAAAACACAAGTCAAGATCTTGAGTGTGGCTGCATCTGAGAGCCCAACCTGAGTAGACCTGACACCATGTAAGCTGGAAACGCAAAGGCAGGTGGCTCCAGGGTTGGTCAGGGCTCAGGTGCCCTCGCCCCGCAGATTCCGGTCTGCTCCTGAGCTGGTGGGACTACCCGGCCAACACCTTCCCTGACATATGGTCCCGAGGGGGCTGCTTCTCACCAGCCATCTGTCACCAGCAGCAGGGGCTCCTGTCTTGCTGCTCACCTGCCTGTTCCTGTAGACTGCCACTGGCCAGGCCGAGCCGATGTCCACCTTGGACCAGCCGTCAGGCACGAGGGAGGGCTTGGGCCCATCATGCCTCCTGAGCTGAGAAGAAGGTTGGCAGAGTCCAATTCTCAGGGTCCGAGTCGGGAGGAGCAGCTCCTTAGGCGCAGGCCAGCCAGGGAGCCAGGTCCGGAGGGTCACTGCAGCGGTGGAGCTAGAGAGGGACCACCGGCACCGCCCAGCTTCAAGGGCCCAGCTCAGCGGTTGCCAGGGTGGTTCCCTGAGCCGGAAGCCCCCTTGGGGCTGTGCTGGGCTCAGGTCGGTGTCTGTGTTTGGCTGTGGCCGTCCTTGGTGAGTCACAGCCTCTCCCCCACCTTCCAGGCCTCCCCCGCCTGCCCCCCAGGAAGGACACGTTCAGTGTCCTTCGGTGTTCAGTGTAGGAGACCCATGGGCAGGGGAAGTAGTACTGGGAGACAACAGACTCTAGCATCACTGCCTCTGCCAGCTCAGCACCCACCAGCCCCTTTTAAGCTAAACTCCTGTGTAAAGACAGTGAAGACCACACTTCTGCCCCCGTGAGGCAGCTCTCTTGTGCAGTTGCCCCAGACACCGCATACCAGCATTTCCCTCTCGGGATGTTCTCTGTAGTGTGCCTGCAGCCTCTCTTGGACATGCCCTCATTTAAATGATGATTTGTGAGATGAGCCACACCGCTGACCCTTGTGATGCTGGCACTGGAGTGGGAAGGGGGAGGAGTAAGAGCTGGCTGACCCACAGAAGCACACACCATGCCCACGAGGGGCGCGTGGGGCTGCTCTGCCCGAGCCGCCCCTGGAGTGCCTGCACCGCTGTTAAAGCTTCTGTGCTGGCGCCCGGAGGTTGGCCCACACCCCGCCCGCGGGATGTGAGCCCCCGAGCCTTGGCAGCACTACTTCCCACCGACTTCTGTCCTGGGAATGGGGTGCCTGGGTCCCCAGAGGTGTGGGTGCTCTCCCCATTGCTCTCTGTGGGGACTGCTGTCTCCCCAAGGGAGTGGGGAGCAGTCACCCAAGCCGCTGGTCAGCCCTTCTTTGTCCCAGTTAGTTGGCATGAGGTGTCCAGCACAGCCAGGTGGCCTCAGCCTGCGGGCCACTGTGTTCCTGTGTGAAAGTGTGCCACCCTTAGGGCTGAGGACATCTGAAGCTGCAGTCGTGAAATGAGCCAGTGGCTCGTTAGGGGCAGTGAGAGGAAGGCCCCCTCCATATGTGTCCTGGACTGTGTGCTGGCCATTGAAGCCACCCTGTGTGCCGACCAGCAGTCGGGACCATCCTCTTAGGCAGGCTGAGGCCCCACGGGGCATCACCCGCAGTGCTCCACAGGGCCTGTAGGAGTCCTTGCTGCTGAAGTGCTGTAGGTGGGCTTCACCTCGTAGGAGCAGCACCGTGAGAGCCATCACAGCAAGGCGTCCTGTGACCCCACTGACGGGAGGCTGTCCCCGGTGTCTGCAGCCAGGCTGTGTCCCTTAGTGCTGGCGGGAGCACGTGGCACGTCTGCACACACATTTCTAGAGGGCTGCGCACAGACCTCTTGGTCCTTGTCAGAAGTCTTCACACCTTGGCCACCAATGTCCAATCAAACCGATTTCCTTCCAAGACCGTGACCTGTCTTAACTTGTGACCCCAGCTGTAAAGGAGGGCATTTGTGTCATCTAAGCCACCGAGATTGTGGCTTCTGCAGAAATAAGGCATTGACCCGGTCACTTCCCTGTGTGAGCTGCCACACCCATGGAGGAGGACCAAGGGAAGGGCCGTGGACCACCTGAGGCCTGTCCCGCCAGGAGCGCCTCAGAGGGAACAGAAACAGCAGGGCTAGTCTGGGGCCATGTCCCCATGTGGCTGCATGTGAATGTGTGATTTCAGGTACGAGAGCTAAATGCTTTTATGTTTACATTTAAAGCTGGCTCTGCACAGTATAAGGGTGATTGATACATCATAATTTCATTCATGTTAGCATATTAAAGTTTAATTTTTCTTTCCTTTGATATCAGTGAGCACACCATGGCCAGCTGGCAGAGAGACTGTGAGTTTGCTCACTGGAGGCTGGACTTGGAGACCCGGGTGTGGGCAGGGCTGGCTTCCCCTGAGGCCTCGCCACACAGCCATCCCTGTGTACGCTTGGCCCCGCGCACCTGTGTCCTGGCCTCCTTGTGAGGACGCCAGTCCAGTAGGCTCAGGGCCACCCTAAAGGCCTTGTTCCACCTTGATTGCCTCTGTAAAGGCCCCGTCTCCACAGTCAGGCACATTTTGAGGCACAAGGATTCAGACTTAAGGGGACACAATCTAGTCCGTAACAGAGACCAATGAAGGAAAGGAAAGGCTTTACCATTCTGTACCTTAGGCAGGACTTCCTGCCTTTCAAGTGAGGGTCCCTGATTTTCGCCGGGCCTCAGGTGTGATGCAGACAGCCCTGGACGCTGACCTGCTTTGGTCTGGCCCTGGAGGAGGCACAGTCTCCCCATGAGAATCTGTAGCAAACCGGTCTGCGAGTGGGTGCCCCCAAGACCCCAAGCCAAGCATCCTGCGGGGAGTGACATGGGTCCTTCAGGTCTCCCCTGCTGCCGCATGTGATGGCAGCCATCACCACAGCCCGCCAGAACTGCGTTGGCCGGCACCTCCTCACCCCCAGCATGCCGGCCGCACCTGTTCCTTGACAGTGGTTGGCTGGGCACTGCCCATAGCTCCCTCCCTCGCTCTGAACTTGCTCCCTGCTGACACTCATCTTCACCAGCTGCATCCCCACAGCCACCCAGGGGCAACCCCAACCCAGGATGCAGGCCTCTGCTCTGACCTCACAGGTGAGCTGGTTTAGAATTAACTGAGGGACAAATGTCTGGTCACACCTGGCTTGCTGAGGGCTGAGGGATGCCACCACGTTGGCCATCTTGCCAGTAGGAGTCACCGTTGGAACAGAGACTGGTTTCTGCAGCCGGTGTCTGAGGACTTGATCTGCAGTGGGACAGAGCCGGGGGGCCTGCATGCCTGAAGAATGGCCAACAGGTGTCTTACACGAGCTGGCTCCTGCATGCTTTTTTTTTCTCTGCTGAGTGAATACCTATAAGACTGAAGTTTTTGGAGAAAAGGGAGAAGTTGAGGATGAGTTAGATTAGTTCTCCATCAAAAGCAAAGATGAAGATGGTTCACTTAAAGAAGCAGTGGGCTCCCCAGCCTCGAGCTCCTCTGGGCTGTTGCACCAGCACGGATGCAGGAGCTGGCCGGGACACGCTTCTCGCCTTTGTGCGCTGGGCTTCACGAGGTGCAGGAAGTGCTCTGAGCAGTCCATGGGGAATCCACAGCTTTGGGATGGGGTCCAGGTCTGGCAGCCCGCCCGTATCCTGCCTCCCCCAATTAAAAGGGAACTGCCTCCTCCAGCATAAATTGGTGGAATGGCCTGGTCTGCTCTGTGTCTTCTTCAGCTGTCCATCAGCTCTCCGTCCTGCAGTAACTTATCCTCATTTTTAAAATGGTTCCTTAGCTTTTTATTTATCTACATTTTTATTTACATTAACAAATGTATTTACATTGACATTTTTGAAGACTTCAAATCAGTTTTGCGGAATGTCACTCAAATGGGATGTTTGATGGTTTCCTCAAATTAACACTTTTGAGTTCAACCCTGCATATAGAATGTTTTCCTCAGCCATCAGGCCAGGACTTTGTGTGTAGGTATGATGCTGTGTCGTTCCTGTTCTCCACTGCAGGGGACACATTACGTTTGTTTCCTTTCTGGTGACATGAAGATTGGCGATCCCTTGGGTAAATGGGTGGGGTGACATCAGATTTCTTCCTTAATAGGAAACTTTTATTTGTAATCAATAACTATGTGATGAGTTATTTGTGGATACTTTTCTCGGTAGCCTTTCTACCATTTTGTAGCATCCACTGATAAATCTGGCCTGAATTGGTGGATATAAAATGAAAGCATTCTTTTCCCATGTTTCTGCATGTATTGTCTGTCATTTTCCTCTGAAGAAGAAATGTCCTTTCTGCATATGCTTAACACCTAAATGCTTGTTCAAGTCCCTGTCCCTCAGCACGTATAGTGGACCTGCAAGGAGGCAGGGGCAGGTGTGAGGACAGTGTGGACACTGGATTTGCTTCTGCTGGACGTTCAGGAGCCATCAGATCCAGGCGTGTCCCGACACATCCTGTGTTCGTGTTTGCTGGGCATGCTGCACGCCGGGCCTCTGCGTGCATAAGGTGAACAGGCCGCCCGACCTCCCCGAAGAGCCGCTGGAGCTTCAGGACGAGAGCAGACGGGCGGGCGCCTACTGCTTTATGCGCACATCTGAGAGCCCGCCGGTGCCTGGCAGCTGCCTCCCTGTGTGCCCCCGGTCTGGTGGGAAGTGAGCCCGGTTCCGCGGAGCCCGTCTGCCCTCCGGATCCAGCAGAGCCCATTTTGGGCGGCCGGGGGTGGGACGCCAGGACAGAGGACCCCCCTCAGGGTTTTGGGGACAGAAAAGGCTAGAGCTGTAAAGTGGGGACACGGGCCTGGGAGACATTCTGTGCATCAGGACAACGTGGGGATAAGGCAGCTCCCGATGGAGGAGGGGAGACCCGTGGTGACCAGGAAGCCGGCGGAGAGGGCCACCGAGCCCAGGCTGGGTGCCCCTCGTGCCGTCGGTTTCACCCCGGGGGCCTGAGCAGGGCCGCGTCGCCGAGGGCGCGCGGGCCCATCCGGGTTGGCAGCCGGGAGAGCGGAGGGCGCGGGCTGGCACTGCTCCTTCCGCAGGGATGCGCGAGGAAGGCGAGGGGTTCCCGGCCGCCGCCGCTGGGGAGCCCGGCGCCCCCTCGGGGAACCGGGACTTGCCGGCCAAGCTGGCGGCCCGCACGCGTATCCCCTCCTCGACGCGGTCCAGGAACGAACCACCAGCCCGCAGTCCCCGCGGGGTCTGGCCTGGAGCGGCGAGCAGGTGACGGAGCGCGGACGCCGCCCCGCGCAGACTCCTCGGCGGAGCCGGGCTCATTGCCGCGGGGCGCCTTCCGCGAGCTCTGCGGGCCTCCGGATCGCCGCGCTTGACGCACGGGTCACCGCGCGTCTGGCACCCCCGGGATCGGACCCGGACTCTCGGCGTCCGGCGGCACGACGGGGAGTGCGGCCCCTGCTGGGCGGGCGCGCTTCGCCCCGGCGCCTCCCGGGTCCCGCGAGGTGCTGCCCGCCGGGCGCAGTGGCCCGTTTCACGGGGGAGCGACGAAAGGTCAGGGCCCCGCCGCCTCCCGCGCCAAGCTGGCCGTGCCCCTGGGGACTCCCCGGGACCCTGGGCAGCGCGGCGGGGGGGGCCGCATCCTCTCCGAGCAGCGCCGCCCCGCGCTCCCCATCTGGAGGACGCGGTGTTGCCTCCGCGGACCAGGCGGCGAGCTCCACGGGCGTCGGGGTCACAGGGGCGCGCTGCCCCCTCGCCGGCCTCTTCCCGGAGCGGCCCCGTCGTCGGTGTCTCCCCTCTGGTAGCCGCCGTTTGTCTCTGGCCTGGATGCAGGTCACACGGTGAACAGACAGAACGAAACGCAAAGGCGTCCCGCTAGGGAGGCGGGGAGCCCCGGGCGCTGAGCCGGCCCCGGCCTAACCGCAGAGGGAGACGCGCCCGGGGCTGTCACGTGACCGGCGGGCCCGGGGTATGAGCGGACCCGGGGAGGAGCCGCGCTGGCAGCCTGACCACAGAAGGCGGCGGAAAGCAGCGGACACGGTGGGAAGAGCCTCCCACGGTGCGGGGGAGCCTGGGGCTTCGAAGAAGGAAATATGGCAGAAGTAGGACGGGAGAGGCCTCGGGACGTCCTTGGCTCTGTGTTATTTTGGGGCCCTGGGTGCTGAGGAGCAGGGAATGGAAACTCGGGGTGCAGTAGAGTAGGCAGAGGGGGCACCAGGGCTCTGTGGGGCTGAGGAGTGATGAGCCGTCTCCAGGACCCAGGACAGTCCTGGGGCGCGTGGGGAGGGGTCTGCAGACAAAAACAGGAGTCCTCGCGTAAGAGCCCAGGGGTGGGGGGGGGTCGGCAGGTGCAGGGGCCACGGGGCAGGGTGCTCCGTCCCTAAGAGGCGAGGGAAGGAGGTGTGCGGGCTGCCCAGGATTCAGTCAACAGGAGGGGTTCGAGGAAATGGACACGAAATGGCTTAACTGACAAATACAAAGTGAGCTAACTTTCAAGGAGTGAAGAGTGGGAGCAGGGGGCCAGGGGGAGCCCTGAGATGGGGCTGGAGGAGGCAGGGACCCTGCTGTGGGGCACAGACAGTGCCTGAAGGCTGGGGCCGGCTCTCCCGGGCAGAAGCCTCAGTTGATGCATCTCAGCACATGGGGATCAGCCAGCTGAGTGCCTGTGGGTTCCCCAGGGGGGATACGCTGCAGTCACTCCCACGGGAGAAGGCCAGTGCTGCCTCCTGGCCCTGGCCCACTGCGTCCTCGAAGGGGACCTAGGGTGAGTTAACGGTTGAGGCATCAGGAGTGAGGAGAGCCGACTTGCTCTGTGGTGCTTTTCCATGAGGCCCAGCTGCCGTGCCCCACATCAGGGACCCAGGGCAAAATGTGAGCTGTGGACCCCTGCAGATGGGCCTGTGAGGGGCAGCACCCCACAGGCAGGCAGACATGCCACAAAGCCCTTTCCTGATGCCTCAGGCCTTCCTCCGCTTCCCTGCTACCCAGGGCCTAGGGGTGCCAGGCTCTGCTTGGCACAGACCCCACGGTTGCTCTCGTCTCTGCCTGCGCCTGGTGAGAAGATGTAGAGTCCTCCAGTGCTCGAGACCTAGAATTTCCAGCTCCTACGAGAAATACTTTGTGCTTGTTTTTTAAGCCTAACACTCCTGATCTGCTAAGCATCGAACCTTCATTCCTGAGAGCAACAGCCTGTCAGGCAGTCTAGGATGCAGCCGCGACTGCATGCTTTCTGCCCCCACAGCTGGTTCCCCAGGTCTCCCACGGCTGCTTCCCAGGGAGCTCCCCAGAGGGAGGGCTGCCTGTCTGGGCCCGGGGCCTCTGGCGGGTCTGGGGGGAGTGCT